ATTTTTTTTTACAAGATAATTCGTATTCTGGTTCCTACAGGACAGGCCTAGCCTAGTGCAGGAATGGATGCTATTGTGATTGTATTGAAACAATTACATTATTAATAATTATTGTTATATAAATTATGCACACCTATATGCAGGTTAAATACATTGAACATAATATTTTTTATGATCGTTGCATCCTTAGTTAATTTAAATGTATTTACTGTATAATAAAGTTTTACAAATAAACAAACAAAATTTAATATTACAAGACCTACTTGTAATACTGGATTCTACAAACAAATAAATAATTAAACGTTTATACACATAAATAAGTTGTAAGCGTAACTGTCTGTTTATGTTGTAAGAATAATAATAATAAGTAATAAATAAAATAAATAATAAAAAAAAAACGTTTTTATTTCTTGCTTTTGCATTACAAAGTTATAGTGTTAATAAAATGCAATTTTTTTTATCTCTACTTCTTGATTTATTATTATTAAAGTTTTATTTTATTACTGTACTCATAACTGTTTGGTTATAATGTTAACTATATATTCGAATAAAAAATATTTCTAAATTGAAAATAGACATGTAAAATTTATGACAATTTAATTTGATATTTGACTCTTCTCAATCCTAGGCATTGCAACTGACTAGACTATTTTAATTGAAACGTATTCAAAACATTGTAAATCACCAGAGGATGTAGGAGTTTCTTCATCCAGACCAGACCATTCCAATATTCGAAAAAAACTCAACGTTACATACTGGTAGAGCCAGCTGGTAACTGGCTCCATGGGAAACAAATATATATATAAAGACCATGCAATAAAAACAAATAAATATTACAAACTAATAAACAAATTAATGTAAAATAGCTATATGGTTAATTTATAGACCAACTTTGTGGTAGCGAGAGGTATACCAACGATCTCTCTAGAATCTTCTAAAAGATCTTGGCCTGTCTAGAACGCTGTGTTCTGTACTAGAACCTATATTTGAAGCTGCACTGCGGCAGGGAGAGAAACACGAGCAGTGAAGATGAGTGTAGACGTATGTCGGGAAGGACCCTCTTAAACCACCACCCGGGTAACAAGCCCAACAAAATAATAATAATAAATACATAAATAAAATAAGAACAAAATTCTACATATAATAAATAAATAATGCAAATACAAAATAAATAACAAATATTACAAACTAACATTCAAACAAAAATCAAATATATCAATCAAAACCAAATTACCTTACCATATATATACACCGCTGTGCATTGTATCCCAATAGCGATGCCCTTCGGCTCCCAAACAACAAGATTGCAGAAGATCCTGGGAAGAAAAAAAAAAAAAAAACAAGCCCGGGAACTGCTCGGAGTCTCCCTCTCTGCCACACGATGGAGTCGGCACCCGCACGGTGAATCCACGGAATTACAAGTTTGTCTGTCTTGGGGAAATGGGATTTTTAGTAATGTGGACTAATAATCCTATTGCTAGCAATGTCATATCAGGTTGACTACGTAGTTCCCCAAGGAAACCATCTTGATAAATTCCTAGTGATTTTACCACGATGGACTAACTGACCTGACCTCATGCTCATCTTATCCTCCACTGGTGCCCCGCCAGCGTAAAACGTTAGCGCAGGCAAGCAATAATAATATTAATCTTAAGACAATTCACAACACGCCATCTAGATCAAGTTAAGCTAGTTAAAGCTTGTGTTATAGGTACTAGATAACTGATACAAATACATAGATTTTTTTTCGTAAATACATATATATCACTAACTACCCGCCCCGTCTTCACACGGGTGGACATGTATTATATATATAAACCTTCCTATAAAATCACTCTATATATTAAAAAAAACCGCTTCAAAATCCGTTGTGCAGTTTTAAAGATTTAAGCATATATAGGGACAGACACCAACAGCGACTTTATATAATAATATGATACATAAAAAACACCCAGACCAGACCGATACAAACAATCATACTCATGAATGAATGTTGTTCGAAGAATCGAACCCGCAACCATCGGACTTAAACCACTAGACCACCGAGGTCGGCAATGTTCATTATTATCCATTAAAAAGAAGTTCATCTCTCTAATACAAGTAGCGTATGATATTTCACCGTGACTTTATGAAGAAACAGTAATTAGAACGTCGAGCTGGACCGACGTGGAATTAAGATCGTGAAATTGATTATTCACGATCGTGACTCTTGGATTTACACAGTTCTGTAAATTAAATGTACTCGCAGATACTTAGAGTTACTTAATGCAAGTCGGTGCAATACATTACTTAAGATTTTGTGGGATTAAGTACGTAATTTTCTAATTGGATGTACTTTAGCTTGATTATGTAATGTTGTTGCTAAATTTATTCATAAATGACTAGCTACTCGCCCCGGCTTCGCACAGGTGTACATGTATTATATATACCTTCCTCTTGAATCACTCTATCTATTAAAAAAAGCCGCTTCAAAATCCGTTGCGTAGTTTTAAAGATTTAAGCATACATAGGGACGGACAGACAGCGATAGCGACTTTGTTTTATACTATGTAACGATGATAACATCTTCTGCTTCTTCCTTATCCCATTTATAATAATCTTATTTACATTATAAACGCAAAAGTTTGTGAGTATGTATGGATGTTTTTCACTCTTTCACGCAAAAACTACTGACCGGATTTTGATGAAATGTTACAGTAATATAGCTAATACATCAGAATAACATATAAAATGTCACTATAATAATTTTATTTGTCCCGGGTAAGAAACTAAATTTCTGTACTTTTTTGCCTATTTAAACATTTGCTTTTTTTTGTTTTTTTTTTAGTTTTTTCCTCTTTTAAACTGAAAAAAAAAAATTTTTGGTGACGAAACTAGCCGAAACTGTAATCAAAAGTCCGCTCTGTTTATAACAGAAACATTTTCACTTTCTCTACAGCACCGCCCACCTGTTTATGTAAAATAATTCCGATCGCTTCATCGATAACAGAATCGAAAGTTAATTTTACATAAAATGTTATAAATATAAAATTGGTAACTATAAAAATGGGAATTTATGTTAAAACAAATACCACAGATAAGATTATGCATAAACTATACATACTAGTATAAATAAAATTGGAGTGTCTGTTTGTAATATTGAAATAACCACTTTTTACTACATGCATATGAATATAAATACGGTACGTACACCAAAATAACATTTTTTATATTTTTTGTCTGTGTCTCTTTGTTCCGGCTAATCTCTTAATTGCTAGACCTATTTTGACGGGACTTTTTTTGGCAGGTAGCTGATGTAATAAGGAGCAACATAGGCTACTTTTATTTTAGAAAAAAACTATTTTTTTTGGATAAATAAAGTTAAGTTCCATGCGGACGAAGTCGCGGGGAACAGCTACTATAACATAATAATAAACTTTATTATTAATATTACATAAAACCGTTACCTCTCACTACATCCGCGTGGATTTATTTCATTGAAATAAAAAAATCTGAAATGAAATGTATGCTAAGTTACTCCTCACAACATTTATTATCTGCGAGTGAAAGTCCCGTCAAAATCGGTACAGCCGTTTCAGAGACTAGCAAGAACATACAGACATTTTTTTTAAATTAATGTTTTGATGTTATACAGTATTTAATTTCATATGCATTTCGTGGAAATCATTTAACCTAAATTTTAATTATATACACCTGTTTATTATATAACAGACACCTAAATTTTATTTAATATATACTACCTGTGTCCGCTTATTAATTGTTTAACCAGTTGGTTATTCATCTGCGTATATAATAATATATCGGTGGTTTGTATTCACACACTAAATTTGTTAAGTTTAATGCATACAAGTTTCTTACTTGTTCTTCTTGTGATGAGACAGCATTAATACTAGATTAAAAAAAAAGTATTCATCAAATGATCCGTTCTTTAATAAGCTATAATACTGTAAAGTTTCATCAAAATCCGTTCAGTAGTTTTTGCGTGAAAGAGTAACAAACATCCATGCTTACAACTTTCGCGTTTATATTATTCAGATTCTATTATTAAGATTAAGATTATACGTATAAAGTGATATTATGAGGTGGGTGAAACCAGACAGTAGGTGTACTGAAACAGGGTAGAAAAATAGGTATAATACTGGCTATTACAACCCTATTTTGTAGAAGAAAGGTACTAAAAATTCATAGCACTGACAATATTATCTGATTGCACTAAGAATGAGTGCGTAGCGGTTTCTATGTTGATTATCATAGCATGCCTCTTGTTATTTTCTAATTATTACTAATTATTTCATCATCATTGCCTTGCCTTTATCCCATTATTTGGGGTCGGCGCAGTATGTCATTCTATTACTAATTATTTATTTATTTAAAATAACATTTATTCAAAAGAGCAACACGCACGTTTCTTGCTCATTCCTCATATATTGAGGCTGCATTCCGAATGAGTGGTAGAATAAAAAAAATATGTTCAAAAGAACTTGTATTGAGTTTATTTGAATAAAAATTATTTCTATTTAACTTTGCTATTATATGCTAGTAAGGATAGTAATCCATTTCTTAGCAATATATCCCTAAAAACATTCTGGTCAACTAATGGTAAAATCGCCACGATGGTGCCCCGCCAGCGTATACCGTTTTTTTTTTTGTTATGTATGATAATGGAATAATTTACCCGGCTTCGCTAACGGTTTACGCTGGCGGGGCACCAGTGGAAGATGATAAGATGAGCATGAGGTCAGGTTAGTTAGCCCATCGTGACAAATTTACCAGGAATTTATCACGATGGTTTCCTGGGGGAACCGCGTGGAGGACGCTAGCGCAGGCGAGTATGCGTGGGTATATGAAAGGTACATTCCATTATCATCTATTAAAAAAACCAAGCTCTGCTTAGCTTGGGACTAGTTGGCGCTTAAATTATTCTGGGTCATTCTTATATGCGATAATTACAAATTATTTCCTATGCCAAATAATTAAAAAAAAATGTTTTTCTATTACAGTACTGGTGAGGATGCTCTCGAAGGTCGTACGGAGGAGGCGCAGTTTCCCAGCGCAAGCGCACTGCGCCAGTCTCCACTCTTGCGGCACTGTCCTCTCCGAGCGCCAAAATGTCCGCCCGCTTCCAAAAGGTAATTCTTCCTTTCGCAATCTATACATATAAATAAAATTGGAGTGTCTGTTTGTAATATTGAAACAATAGTTTTTTACTACATACGAATATAATTGCGGTACATAAACCAAAATAACACTTTTTTTTACAATTTTTGTCTGTCTGTTTGTCCTGGCTAATCTCTGAAATGACTGAACCGATTTTGACGGGACTTTTTTTGGCAGGTAGCTCATAGAATAAGGAGTAATTTAGGCTACTTTTATTTCAAAGTTAAATTCCACGCGGACGAAGTCGCGAGTACAGCTAGTTTTATCATATATTCGACAATAAATAATGCCCAAGAAAAGAAATCAAACAATAGACTAATAGTTTGCTGTTTTCAAGAGGCAATATTACTATTAGTTTTATTACTAGTATACATTAAAAAATACATAAATAATGAACTAGATTTTGCTTGAGAAACTCTAACACTTTCAAAGGTTGGTGCGAGACTAACTGAAAACTATATTTCCTTCAGATAGATGATTGCTAGCAATAGGTTCCCAGTCCCCATTGCTAACAATACCCTTCCCTCTCTATTACAACAACAAATTGGTCAACACAATTTAGGTTTCCTTAATTTTTTTCTGTTTTTGAGTATTTTTATTGCTCCGAGCATGAAGATAATACTGGAAGATTGCTAATAGCTTCAAGTTTTTATATGCACAGTTTTATCATTTTGACGAAAAAATATCGAGTTCTATATAGGTTTTCGATATTTTACATATAGATATTCGCTATAACTATAGCAAAAACAGTCATGATATATTACACAACATCCTATTGACGAAACCATATCGAAAACGGCAGCAAAATATATTTCAGTGTCCATTAAAAAAATGTAAATCTAAGTTGAACATAGTGAATGAGGGAAGTTGCTGTAACTCAAAAACAAAAGCTTTGAGAGAAAAAGGTGGTAATTCGAGGTAGAAACGGAAAAAAATCGTAGGAATAAACAGTTTTTATTTTTTTGTTGGCCAGTGTAATAAAATAGATAACACTATGATGTTCTTTTGTTTCTGAATAGATATCGAACTCATGACGGCACATGCAACAACCTTAATAGACCCCGATGGGGTTCTACGATGACCCCAGTTCAACGGTTCTTGGCCCCTTCCTACTCAGACAGCCTCCAAGCTCCCAGGAGATCAATATTCGGCGGCAAACTCCCGTCAGCTCGCGAGATCAGCTCCCGTATCCATGAGAGCAAAAACGTGGAATCTCCCGGCATAACACACTTGTTGATGCAATGGGGACAGTTTGTTGATCATGATATCACGTCATCATCGCAGACGAGAGGTTTTAACGGGTCTGTACCGAGGTGCTGCAAAAATGGTGGAAGAGGCATTGTCCCCAAAGAGTTACTGGTGAGTACTTCAACTGAACCATATTTTTTTTTAATTCGTACTGGAAATGAATCCTATTTATAACAAATCAGATATATATAGTCAAATATGTTACTTCTTACTAATATTATAAACGCAAAAGTTAGTAAGTTTGGATGGATAGATGTTTGTTACTCTTTCACGCAAAAACTACTGAACGGATTTTGATGAAACTTTACAGTAATAAAGCTTATACATCAGAATAGCACTTAAGCTATAAATTTCAAGTGAGGTAGCGGGCACAGGTAAACAATGTTGAAACTTTCGAAAATTTTTTTTATTATCAAATATAGCTTATGGTTTGATTAAGCGACAAGAACCATTTATGTTAGTTTATGTTAGAGATATGTCAACCCTTCATTATAGAACCTTATTGTATGTGTAGTATTTCTGTTTAACATCCCTTCAGTTTAGTAATCCATTAAAAACATCTTCAACATTATTAATAAAAAAATCATTACATAGTATAAAACAAAGTCGCGGTCGCTGTCTGTCCGTCCCTATGTATGCTTAAATCTTTAAAACTACGCAACAGATTTTGAAGCGGTTTTTTAAATAGATAGAGTGATTCTAGAGGAAGGTTTATATATATAACCTGTACATGTACACCCGTGCGAAGCCGGGGCAAATAGCTATAGTTAAATGAAGTCGCTTCCGCTTGTTCACTTAGATCTTTCAAACTACGCAACGGATTTTAATGAAATTTTTAGCAATAGAGTTATTCAAGAGTAAGGTTTATATGTATAATACATGTACACCCGTGCGAAGCCAGGGCGAGTGGCTAGTATAATATAAGTCCTTAGTTTTCATAAATCTTTAGAAAAGCGTCTTCTATAATAAATGGTGTAATAAAATCTAGAATTCAAATCATGCGTAAGATCTGTGTTATAAAAAAAATTATGTTATTTCAGCACCCAGAATGTTTCCCTATCGAGGTGCCACCATCTGATCCATTTTATGGTCCTCGCGGAGTAAGGTGCTTGGACTTCGTCAGGTCATCTCCAGCCCCTCGGGATGACTGCTCTCTGGGTTGGCGGGAACAAATGAACCAAGTCTCAGCTTATATAGATGGATCACCATTGTATGCCAGCTCAGCAAGACAGTCTGACAAATTAAGGCTATTTAGGAATGGTAAGCAACAAGTTTTATTCTATCTAACTCTGACAGCTCTTTCTCTGGTGGTTTTGAATTAGTATGAAGAAAGTTTGAAAATATTCTAGATTGAATAATGGTCGGAAACTGATCGGTAATAGAGAAGGTCGCAAACCTGCCAGTAGCGGTGGTCAGGTTTCCGCACTGAAAATTTGTGGTCTTACAATATTTGTAGTCTCACACATTTACATACATATATTAATAATAATCTCAGGACAATTCACACAGCGCCACCTAGACCCAAGTTAAGCTAGCTAAAGCTTGTATTATTCCAAAGGAGATGAAACTTGTTTCTATCTCCTTTGGATAGAGTGTATACTTTCCAAAGGAGATATTACTTTTATGCATGTGTGGGCTACAACCACATAGGATGTGTACTAAACAATTAACACAGCGCCATCTAGTCTCACGGTAAGCAGAGCTTGTGTTATGGGTACTAGACAACTGATACATATACATAGATTTTTTTTTTGTAAATACATACATATATACATAGAAAACACCCAGACCGATACAAACAATCATACTCATGAATACAATTGTTTGTGCCGTGCGAGGAATCGAACCCGCGACCATCGGTCGTAAAGCGGTGTACTAGACCACTGAGGTCGTCGAATATATAAATAAATAATACATATAAATCCATTAAGTACAGTCCCACAATTTTAGTTAGCTACGGGTTCGAGTCCCGCTCAATATTAATATTTGTATTCAAGATATTTTTTTATACGTGCTTACATAATTATATATATCTATTAAAAACACTACATCAGTGTATATTGATTTTATAGAGATTTCTTTTGTATTCAGTTTAGTTTCATATTAGATGACGCCTTCAGTTGTCCAGGGTTCTTTTTTTATTTCCTCCTACCTACTACTTGCGAATACGTCCGTGTGGAATTTATATTAATTATTAAAAAATAAATCTAAAATAAAAGTATCCTGAGTTACTGCTTATCCTAATTTTTTTAGGATATACTATGTATTTAATTACTAAAAAAATGGATGTGTTTATTCATCACTTGTTTAATACCCATAACACAAGCTCTGCTTAGTTTGGACGTGTGAATTATCCTGAGATTATTATTAATATGCCGATTTCCTAAAGTGGAGATATGCTTTATCTCTCCAGTTAGGTATATACGAAAATCTGATAACAAATCAACCTACAGGAATGCTCCAATACGGCCGGGTGCAGCAGCGGAGGCCCCTGCTGCCCCCCGAACGGCACGACGAGCTCTGCCGTGGAGGAGCAGTCTCTACGGACTGTTTCAAGTCTGGTGATGCGAGGGTTAATGAGCAACCGGGGCTGGTCGCTGCTCATATTGTATGGCTGAGACAGCACAACAGGTTAGGACAAGTTAGGTTATCTTGGTGGAGTTTGTATAAACTGGTCTGGTCTACCTCAGTTTCCATAACCGTCAGGAGGGAGTTGGCCTTCAGCTGCTCCATAAGTCCTTCCGCGGGTTTGGAGTGCCATCTGCACTTGCCCCCTATAGTCCGGTGAAGCTGTAAAGGTCAGATGGTCGCGGGTTCGATTCCTCGCACGGTACAAACATTTGTATTCATGAGTATGATTGTTTGTATCGGCCTGGGTGTTTACTATGTGTGTTATGTATGTATATAAAAAAATCTAATTATTTATATCAGTTAATTAGTACCACAAGCTCTGCTTATCGTTGGACTAGATGGCGCTGTGTTAATTGTCCAGGGTTATTTTTTTTGTTTCTTAGAATGGCTCAAGAACTGGCCCATCTCAACCCTCATTGGAGTGACGAAAAGATCTACCAGGAGACGCGGAAAATAGTGGGCGCCATGATCCAACATATCACATATAGGGAGTTCCTGCCCATTATTTTAGGTAATCATATTTTTATTATTTTATGGCATTTTGATTTTAATTTTTTATAGCATAGGCCACAAATGTGCTTGCAGCTCACCGGATGGTAAAAGATTACCGCCGTCTGTGAGCACCCGCAACACCAGGGAAATTGCAAATACGTTGCTGGTATTTTAAGAAGGAATAAGCTTTTGAAGGTTTCAATATCGTATTGGTTCGGAAATACTAGTTTCTTGCTCACAAATTTCTTGCTCATTCTTCTTGTGATGAATCTGCATTCCGAATGAGTGGTAGAATCAAAATATGACTATTCAAAAGTGCTTGTAATGAGTCTATTTGAATAAAGATTACTTATATTTCTATTTCTACTATTGCTAGAAGTTGATTCCACAATGTGGTTGTGCGTGGCAAAAATTTTTTGTAAAATGCACGGTGAAGGACCGCTATTCATCCAGATGATGATGGTATTTTAGTTTCTTGTTTTTATCTCTCACTGTTGATTCCTGCAATGATGGTTATAAGGGAAAATATGATGATACTGTTGATGATACTGTATTATGATCCAATGATGTAACATTTTTATCCAATTACCATACATTATTTGTTATGAAATTTCAAACGAAAATGAAAAACAAATCCGCGAGCAAGATCCTAATTTCGTCAATAATTTCCTCTCGGATGAAAACTTCTAAATGGTTAAAACATTCAGACCGGATACGAGTTAAGACCAGAGCAGTTCTTGACTAGGTCAGATAATAGTTGTATATATTTTTTTTTTTTATTAAATTTACTTGTTTCTCTACTGTTTTTATTATCCCATTTTTTTTTTGTATTATAAATATATTATGTAGTACTTCTGCCGCGATTTGATACGGCCAAAGTTTTAATTGTATAATGTGTTCCTCTGGAGGGCATGTTAAATTATCGAAATAAATACATATATATTATAGTTATATACATACGTAAATGAATAAATATATATTTCTTTTTAATTCAAATATAGTAATGTTGTGATTTTGCAAATTATTATGTTTTGTTGATCTTTTTGAGGTTATTTACAATATGTTTAGCAAATAAATTATACGAATTCAGAGCTTCTGACTTTTTTATGAGAGCGATGAGATCATAGGGAGCGCTGATACCAAATTTGTATTATGAAGCCAAGTGAAAATCAGTTGCGGTTCCGAATGTAGATTGAAGGACAACCACCAAAAAGTAGGATCCTTGCTCGCGGCCCATTCTTTTCGTATACGAAGTTGTTTTGCACTAGGGATCCGAAACGAGGGTAAAATAATTGTAATATCTGGAATTTTTTCGATAACGTAGCTGTCAAAAGAATATCTAAAATCGATTAAATTTTTAAATTCGATTTAATATTTATTGAGTTTAATCATTATAAACCATGAATCAAGTCTTTCTTCTTTATAAACTTTTGATAAATACTTCGATGCAGGCCACTTACTTGGCCTATGGTCTATTTAAAAAAAATTATATTTCAAATACCAAATTCTGTTCTAAATTATCACTGGTTTATATTGTTCCCTTCGGTTTCCCTTCCTGGCCCTAGTTAGTTATGTTTCTTTGTATAATATATTATTATATACAATACTAGCTACTCGCCCCGGCTTCGCCCGGGTGTACATGTATTATAAACATCCTTAATCTTGAATCACTCTATCTATTAAAAAAAACCTCTCCAAAGTCCGTTGCGTAGTTTTAAAGATTGAAACATATGTACATAGGGACGGACAAACAGTGATAGCCACTTTGTTTTATACTATGTAATGATATACATATTACGACACTTCTCTGGTTTCCTTTATCGCCCACAGATGTCTTTATCCCATTGTTTCTTATATTCAGGTACGGAGGTGGTGCGTTTGTTTGACCTGGAACTCCTGAAAAAGGGTTACTATAAAGAGTACAGCCCTAAAACTAACGCAAGTCCAGCGAGTTCGTTCTCATCTGCCGCATTTCGATTCGGTCACAGCTTAGTTCAATCCTCAATGGTGCGGTATGATAGGTTCCACAGACCTATGAACAACAGTGAGTAGACCTTCAGATTACTTAATAATAATAACAATAACTCTGGACAATAAATAGTCCAAAAGGATGTCGCCACGAAGGAAGCGGAAAATATAAAAAAAAAGACGGGTCAATTCACACAGGGTTATCTAGTCCCGAGCTAAGCTGAGCTTGTGTTATTGGTACAAGACAACTGATACAAATACTTAAATATATTTTATTTTGTAAATACATAATATACATAGAAAACACCCACACCAATAGAAATAATCATACTCATGAATAGAAATATGTTCATGTACCCTGCGTGGAATCGAACCCGCGATCATCGGAAGTAAGACGGTGTGCTAAACCGAATACCGCAGCACCCGTTTATGTAACTGGAATGGCAAACAAATAAACATGACCAGATCAAATCAAGTTTATTTGCGATCAACATAGGTATACATTGGTTGTAATTGTAGAATACGTCCTATTATGTTTTGCCTCAATAGGATATAGAACTGGAGGCATCACATCATCATTACACATGGCATACATGCCATTACCTGATGACTATGATATCATATCTACATACTATGTAATTTCATTTTCATTGCCATATCTCTCCTAGTAATAAAACTAATCGATTATGGAATTAATCGATTATTTTACCCAGATGTCTTCTTTCAATCGATTTTTTATCGACTTGTCCTAAAAATCGACGTTAGCCACAGGCCAAAGGGTTCAGAAAATAGGGCTTTAAAAGAGTAATTAATAGCAGCAATCGATGTTAAAACAGTAGTAGCAATTCTGCTGTAAGCAGTAGGTATCATGCTCAATCCTCTTATAATGAGTCTGCGTTCAAAACGATTATAATATTTCTTAGTTTATTTTAATACAAACATCAAATCAGAAACATCAGTTCTTACAACACAAACTGATTAGCAGAAGAAATAGGTGAGGTAGCGAAACCTATTCACGATTTTGTGCAAAGACCTCTCAAATGATAATGAAAATTGAATCACTAATGCAAAAATATCTATTACAGACGTCAGCCTTCACAATGAAGTAACAAATCCATCAAATATTTGGAGCATGGGCGCTGTAGATCGTCTTGTATTGGGCATGGTCAACCAACCAATACAAAAGCGTGATGAATTCATCACTGAAGAACTAACCAATCATCTATTTCAAACGCCCCAATTTGACTTCGGAATGGATTTGGCTGCCATCAATATACAAAGAGGAAGAGATCATGGAGTAGCACCTTATACTTCTTGGAGAGAACCGTGTGGATTGTCAGCAATACTGGAGTTTGAAGATCTGTTTAGAGTGATGCCAGTTAGGACCGTGAGAAAGTTGGAGAGTTTATACAGGTAAAATGGAATATTATTAAGTCTATTTAATGTCGTATAAAACAGTTCTTTTGTAAAAAAGCATATTATAAAATTGAAGAGTTCGTTAACGATAATAATGTTTTTGTGGATAATCTTAGAATTTATAGAGCTGACAATATTATTTGATTGCACTAAGAGTGCGTAGCGGTTTCTATGTTGATTATCGCATGCCACTTACTAATTGTGTAATTATTTATATTAAAAAAACATCTATTCAAAAGAGCAACACAAGATTCAAAAGAGAACAGCAAGAGTTTCTTGCTCATTCATCTTGTGATGAATCTGCATAGAATCAGTCGTAGAATAAAAAATGTATTTTTAATATTAGTCCTAAACAAGTAGAACCTAAAGTGAACTGACCATGTATATACTTAGTATTTATTTCTATTACTAATACTTGATCATAATAAAAATGTTAATATGTATTTTTTCAGACATGTGGATGATATAGATCTATTCACTGGTGGTATGTCGGAAAGACCAGTCGTAGGAGGACTTGTTGGACCAACATTTGCTTGTATCATCGCTCAGCAGTTCTCTAATCTTAGAAAAGGGGACCGATTTTGGTAACTATTTTTTTATGTACCTGGACTGGCTCTTAAGTTTACAGTACATCTGATGGAAAGTCACATGGCCTATAGACATGTAAAACACTGCAGTTGTCTCAAAGTATAAATATTTCCGTAGTATCGTTCATGCCTTACCTGAGGAGTCTCCATACACTGTGATAGCCAGACCCTAATTTTATCAATCATATCCTCTCAAGCAAGTTATCCTTGTACAGACGACGCTGTACAAAATGCGCTTCTAAGTAAAATACTGCTGCTTTTAGTTAATGACTATTTGCTAATGGTAATTTTGACTTTCAGGTACGAGAACGGTGGTTTTGAATCCTCGTTTACCCCAGCACAATTACAACAAATACGAAGAATCTCATTCGCACAAGTTCTCTGTCATACTCTAGACAACATTGACAATATCCAACCGTTTGTTTTTCTATCACCGGACAGTCCTGACAATGACAGAATATTATGCCACAATGGTGTTCTTAACAACTTTGACTTATCGGCTTGGGTAGAGCTAAATTCGGACTCTAATGACATTAAAAAATCGGAAGACGAACCAAGCACGCAGAAACCTAAACGGACAAAGCCTACCACTACTTCGACTACTACGGAAAAGTCTAAAACGACTTCGACTCATCCAAAAAGAAATGAACAAAAAGTATCAAGTGCCGCATCTGTACACGTTTCACATAAAGTACCACCCCATACTTCGTCGAGCACTAATAAAACACAAAATGTGACAAATAGCAAACTGACTGACAAATTAAATAGAACAAAGACAAAAGACAAAGGTATTAACAATGCTACTTTGACAGTAGATGAAACCAGCACGAAAACTAACCTGACAGCCCAGAAAATAGATGATAAACTGGACTTTAAAAACAAAAGCCGACGTTACGATGATACAATTCACTTAAGACATGACATGAGACCTAACAAACCATCAAAGAAATTTAATGATTATGATTATGATGAAGAAAGGGACCATGATATAGAGAATGTACAATCTGTTGTTATTAACAACTTACCACACAAACGTCCATACAACAGACCTATTATAACTGTTACTGAGAACGTTAACAAATATACTTACCTCATTAACTATGTTCCTAGACCAACCGAATCCTGGCGAAGGACTACAAAAAAGAATTATGATAGAGACGTGGTAAAAGTGACATATCAGACATATGACGACACGTACAGACGACCAAACAAACCTTATTATTACAATAGACGAGATGATATAGCGGACAATTATTATTATGACCATGCTAAGCACAAAACAAATCTACATAGAACTCACGATAGGGAAAATTTACATTCATCTGCTCGATCCAATGAAGAAACCATACGGACTACTGCCAAAAGTACGACTACTGACAACTTTGATACCTCAGATGTTAAAAGCACAACAGAAAATTTATATAAATTAGTAACTTTTGGATATGTAGGCAATTACAAGGGTAACGTTAATACAAAACGTGATACTAATATCGTGAATTCTGACAAAAAAGAAACAAAACATGATGTAATAAGTAAAGACTTTTCTACTTATGTGACTAAGAAACCAGAAATTATTTATGATAATGACAAGACAAATATGAGACTTTCTACGTTTTTCTTATACGAAACAGCGACGAAACCTTACACCAATTTACACAGACCGACAAGACGACATGACGAAAATATTCCGACTCAGACTAAAAACAAATATTATTATATTCAGAATGTTTTACATAAATATCCTGAATCTAATACGACTGGGGTCAAAACAAACAATCGAAAAGAAAACTATAATCACTCAAGAGTTGGAGAAGACATAGAAGAGAGATCATCGGCCAATAAATTAGCGTTATTACACGAAATTGAATCAAAATCAACAAGCTCTGAAAGACAAAGACTGAAGATAAAGAAGCCTTCAAGTCCAGCAAAGACACCATCTGTTGCATTTCAAGTTATACCAAGTGAAAACAGGTGAATTATTTTTTCTAAAGTATTATATAATATTTCGCTTTCTATACAGCATTTACTTCTCATATCAAACATTGGTTCTTAAAATGTCAATTTCATTTCAGTCCTATGCAATGGGCTGTTTATGAGGAAAATGCGGAACTTCCAGAGGACCTGCCACATCGAATGCCACCAATAAAAACCGACCCGCATGCTCTAAAAGAAATACCGAGACCTATGAACTTAAAAAGTTTGAGGAGAAGACCAGGAATGTTCTAATGTTAGACCCAAAGTATTTTTGTACATGTTGTTCATTGGCAACTGTTAGATCTCTATATATAACTAGTTAATTAACATAAGACATACGAAAGAACAAAATAACGTATGAGGTTCTATAAATAAGTTAATTGCTACAATTATTTCATTAAACGAGATGAACAAGAAATGTAAATAAATAAGGGACTGATAACTTACATATTTGTTTCAACAAAATGAAGGTTTTCTCTATGACTCGGACAGAATGTAATATTGACACAGACCCCTAGTTATGACTAAGACAAATAACTTACGATGACCAACATGATTAGGGCAGAACGTAACATTGACACATACCCTTAGTTCTGATAGTGACAAATAACTTCGACGAACAACATGACTCGAACGGATATTGACGCAAACCTTTGTTATGACAATGACAGATAACTTCGACAATCAACATGACTTAGACAGAATGTAATATAGACACAGACCCTTAGTTATGATAATGACTAATAACTTAGACAAACAACATAACTCGGACAGAATGTAATATTGACACATACCTTTAGTTATGACTAAGACGAATAACTTCAACAATCAACACGACTCGTACAGAATGTAATATTAACTCGGCCTCTTAGTTATGACTATGACTGATAATTTCAACAATCACCACAACTTGGACACTGTCCAAGTTGTGGTGATTATGATATGATGATATGATATGGAGATTGTGGTATGCATGCGCTTCGTTATGACTATAACAAATAGCTTCTACGATCAACATGACTCGTACAGAATGTAACATTGAAACAAACCCTTTATTTATGACTACGACTGTTAGTTTCAACAATTAACATGACTCAGACAGAATGTAATATTGATACAGACCCTTAGTTATGACTATGACAGATAACTTCGACAATCAACATGACTCAGACAGAATGTAATATTGACAAAGACCTTTTGTTATTACTATGACAAATAACTTACACGACTCGGACAGAACGTAACATTGACACAGACTCTTAGTTATGACTAAGACAGATAACTTACACGACTCGGACAGAATGTAACATTAACAACCCTTAGTTATGACTATGATAGATAACTTACACGACTCGAAGAAAATGTAACATTAACACAGGCCCTTAGTTAGGACTATTACAGATGACTTACACGACTTGGACAAAATGTAACATTGACACAAACCTTAAGTTATGACTATGACAGATAACTTACACGACTCCGACAGAATGTAATATTGACACAAACCCTTAGTTATGACTATGACAGATAACTTACACGACTCGAACAGAATGTAACATTAACACTGGCCCTTAGTTATGACTATTACAGATGACTTACACGAATCCGACAGAATGTAATATTGACACAGGCCTTTTTAGTTATAACTATGACATAACTTACACGACTCGGACAGAACGTAACATTAATACAGGTCCTTAGTTATGACTATTACGAATGACTTACACGACTCGAACAGAATGTAACATTGACACAGATTCTTAATTATGACTGCTACAGATAACATCAACTATAAACAAACAAACAGACTATAAACAGACAGAATACATATTGACATATATGTTTTGATACACAATTACGACATATAACTTCAACAATCGACAAAACTCAGATAGTAGATACATATGTATACAGACACTTCAACTTGACTGTGATTGTGTTAAATAATTTCAACAATCGATACGGCATGTCCAGAATCCGTGTTATGACCGACTCTTAGATATAACTATGACAAATTACTTACTAAGACAAATTTACTTCACGAACTGAATGTATTGAGATAAGCCCATATTAATGACTACGACATAACGATAAGTACAAAATATATAATAACACACAACCTAAATTATGACTATGACCAATTACTTCAACCGATATGACTTAGACAGTTTACATATCATAGACACTTTTTTATACGACTACGACAAGTGACTTCGACAATCGACATAATGTGGACATAATCTGGACATAATGCATATTTATATAAACTCTTAGTCAATGACGGTAACAAATTACTTCATCGATCGTCACTGTACAGAATAGTAATACTAAATACTATTATCTCATCTGTGGTAATACAGACACAAAATTTTGACTATCATGACAATGGACACGACTCAGACAGTTTGTATATCACAGACACTTTATTATACGACTACGACAAATTGACTTAGACAATCGACATGATGTGGACATAATTTATATTGATAAAAACCCTTACTTTATGACAGTAACAAATGACAAGCAATCATCACAGTAGAAAATTCACATTTCCAAATAAATTATTTATTTATTTATTTGTAAATGTAATACAGACATAAAATAATGACTAATAACAATCGACACACTGCAGGCAGCATACAAATGGATACAGAGACTATATTATATGATTATGACAAATGACTTTGACAATCAGCATGATGTGGACATAATGATATTGATATAAACCCTTAGTTTATGACAAATTACTTCATCGATCCTCGCTGTACATTATAATAAAGTATAGTAATATAGACACTGAATTCTGGCTTCTTCTTTGTCCAACCCATGTTCCCAGTTTATCTGGGGTCGGGTCTTCATGCGCCAGAGAACTCTGTTCTGGGTTGTCTGTATAGTAAGATTGTCCTGGTCAATCTCCTTCTTAATATTCGTAATATCACCAAGTGGCGCGTGGCCTGCCCCTACCTCTGGTTGAGCTTTGACACTGGATTCTGACGCTGACTAATAAAAATATACGATGCAGACTGATAAAGACACTATTATATGACTATGACAATTGACACGTTACGGACAAAATGTACTAATCCAAACTGTGACTTATGACAAATAACTTAGACAATCGATACGACTAAGACACTTTATTACCCGACTATTATACTATTGTTTCCATTTAAAAAAATGATTATATAAAACATGTAACATTTTGAAGAACATGTAGAAGACAGTAACATATATAGGATCGGTCCAATATATAGAACTTGACACAATACTTGACATTCTACTAAGAAATAAATCTGCAATAGGTACAATTTCAGTGAATAACTTATATATAAAATTGTAGACAAGACAAGACCTGACTGTAACTAGTTGCAATTACGACATAACCAGAACACACTAAAATAAAAACGACTTACACCAATATTGTAAGACTCATGACATGACATAATGATTATAACTTTGTAACTTAGAACAATATTATGAAAGTTTAACAAAACATGACAAGAATTTACTTATAACTTAATAACTTAGTACTATATGCTATTCAAATCTCGATCACTAAGTAATTATTTAAAAATAAATATAGATACTTAGTTCTCGATAACTTAACCGTCTTCAGTTGGGACAGCTTTGGTATATATACAACTAACGATCCCCACATGATAACTTAACATTAAGTTATCACATAACTTAATACAAACTTAAAGCACGACAATGAAAGACTAAAATGACAATAATTACTGAAATATATAAGACTGACTAGTGACTACATAACATAAAGATAGGCAACTCGTTTTATTTGAGAATTTAATGAAGTATAAACAACTCACTCACACACAACACAATTAACTCAAAGTATTAAGTACTAACGACATGAAATTATTTTAACTTATGATATATTGATGATTAATTTGATAATTGACAGACCTTAAAAAGCAACAAAAACCTACATACCAGGGTACAAATATAAATTAACATATATACATTAGACTATCCACCTAGTTTTTTTACTTAACGTTAATTAGATATTGCATGAGAATAAGTAATACTTACGCAAGTTAAGTAAGATTGACGACATGACCTTTAGTTAATAACGACGACACTATATAATGAATCTGTAGTTTTTAAACATGTACGAGCATTTCAAAAGAATGAACTGAGTTTCTTGTCAGTTGCTCTCAGCTCGAAAGCACTCTGAACTGACGGTAGATTTGACATATCATAAGAGTCTATAATAGACCTACATGAATAAATATATTTTGATTTGATTTGATTTGATATGTGTATGGGTATCGTGTAGTGCGTAAAATCTCTGAGATAAGACTACTAAATTTAACAAAGACTGACAGAAGTACTTAATATATATATATATATGAAATATTTAATTATTGATTGTAGATGAATTCATGACGTGGTACAAAGAATATTTATTTATTTACATTTTCCTAACTATTGTGTAATTATTAGAACTAAGGCATACAGTTTATCAATCATCACATTGACATAATGTCATATGGACTCCAAACATAAACGAGTAAGAGATTAAAATGATGAGATGGAAATGTAAAGTGACAATGATTATTTAAAAGAGCAATTCGTAATTTTCTTGCTCTTTCTTGTGATGAGACAGCTTCCCGAATGAGCGGTAGATTAAAAGAATAATAACTGACTATTCAAAATGCTTAGAATTAAGGTTATTTGAATAAATGATTTTCTATTATATTATGATTAGTAAGGTAAAAGAGAGGGAAGCACAGCAACTGAATGGAGTTCATCAGAACATTAGTGGCATTAGGGCAACCTGATGACTGATCAACTGTGTAAACCAACTCTCATATGATGAATTATGCATTTCTGTATTATTGAAAAATATATTATTTATAAATACAGTCAACGTGAAATATTTTAAACGTAGCTATATTTGAAAATACATGAAATGTTATTAATTAATTTTTATTTAACGTCCAACATTTTTTTTAGGAAATTCTTTTATTTATAAACCCATGAAGAGCTGGATGTACCTAGATGACCTATAGGCATTGCTATGCTTACTAGGTCATCCTAACACTGTATTATTGCAATCAAATTGTTTTTAAAGAAAGAATCAGTTTTTTATTTTCATTTAGTAGGTACTACCTATATTTAAAATGTTTATTGTTATAGTATTGCATTTGTAAAAATAAAACCAGATTAGACTTAGTCTAACCGGTTCCTTTACTCTAAGGTGGTGCTTGTGATTGTCTCATAATTCTAAATTTAATGAAGCTTACCACCGAAATTCTTAGCTTTTATAAATAACACAGCCTAATACAGCATGACTTTATTTTCAAATGTAAGCTGCTGACAATACAATTTGTCAAACGATAGATCGGGTCAATCTGTCGGGTTGACCTCGGCTATTCTTCACATAAACTTTGCCACGCAACTTCAGTTTTTTTTAATAGACGATAATGAAATTGGATACCGGCCTGCCTAACGGGTTACGCTGGCAGGGCACGAGTGGAGGATGATAAGATGAGCATGAGGTCAAGTCAGGTTGGTTTCCAGGAAACTTGAGTTCAGTTGTGCTACTATAATGAATGTAAATACCGCGCTACCGTAAGCCGTTAGCGCAGGGGAGTTTTTTTTTATGGATGATAATGGAATGGTGCACCCGCCTGCGCTAACGGTTTACGCTGGCGGGGCACCAGTGGAGGATGATAGGATGAATATGAGGTCAGATCAGTTAGCCCATCGTGACAAAATCACCAGGAATTTATCACGATGGTTTCCAGGGGGAACCGCGTGGAGGTCAACCTGACATGATACATTGCTAGCAATGGGGTTATCAATCCACATTACTAACAATCCTCTTCCCCCCGCGCAGAGGAGTGCATCATCCCATTATCATTAAAAAAATAATACCGCGCTATTGACGTGTAAATTTGTTGAGTCAATTTCTAGAGTTATTGGGTTAACGCAAGACCAACAGGTTGGTCAACCAACTGACCAACTCACTTCCCAATTTCTCTGCATCCGACAGATAAACTGACCCATCCAGTTCAAAGTACTGAATATGGCAATATTGTAAATCGTACATATAATGAAGGTAAACATTATCTTATTCCATTGACTTAGGGTCGACAATTCAACATACAATAATAAAACACAATTCATTTCTTTAACGATATATTTTGAAATCACATAGCAACAATTTGTACCAAGTAATTTACATGAAAAGTATTTAAGTATTTAGTTTTAATTAACAAAATAAATAAATAAATACATAATTATACATGAGTTTCATTTCATAATGAAGGTAATCAAAATCAAATATAATATTCGTTATATTTTGTTACCTATCTATATATATATATATATATATATAAAATATTGTAGGTATAAAACAAAATTATTATATACGAGTATACATATGTTAGATTCCAATATAGTCAGCAAATTGTGGGCATGTCAAGTGTTGTGTTCCCTATAATATTATTATTATTATTATATTTTCAGGGTTTTTTGCATATTTTGTTAGTTTTACAATTTTCTTAGAGCTAATTTTACGAAATACACAGAATTACACAAACAAAAATAAAAATATAAATAATAATGAGCAAAATAAAATAAAGTATAAATCACTATGACGTGGACAGCTGACAATCCCTCTACCATCATGTTATCATTATAGAATCAGTTAATTGTTGATGACTCATCAGACAATCCTCTACCATCATGTTATCATTTTAGAATCAGTTAATTGTTGATGACTCATCAGACAATCCTCTACCATCATGTTATCATTTTAGAATCAGTTAATTGTTGATGACTCATCAGACAATCCTCTACCATCATGTTATCATTTTAGAATCAGTTAATTGTAGATGACTCATCAGATAATCCTCTACCATCATGTTATCATTTTAGAATCAGTTAATTGTTGATGACTCATCAGACAATCCTCTACCGTCATGTTATCATTGATTTTGATTCAGTTGATTTTTGATGACTCATCAACAACCAACCAACTCGAAAAATGAGTGTTTTTTACACAATATCTTTGCTAATTTTGAATCGATTCTAATACATCTTTGTTCTTAATCGGTAATCGATATGAGATACTAATTATTTCAGCAGTATTCCTTGAGTATTAATTTCATTCTGGTACATAGTTATTTCTTACGGAAAGAATATTTAAAATGGATTGCGATTAACTTGTTTGCTTTCAGATCATAATTTCAGATATAATACTGCACGTCTTTGGCTTACGAGTTTCTATACATAATTAAAAATAGATTATAAACATTTTTAGTTATTTTAATGATTGTGTATAAGAGACAAAAAATGTCATATATATGAATAAATTATCTTGAATTTGACAGTTACGGAATAAATAAACTTTATTATTAATAATAAATGTTTAATAGTAAATAATATTATAATAAACTTTACTATTAAACATAGCTATCTCCTCATGAGAGGCGGGTATGATCTTACTGTCATATACATAACTATACCTAACTGGGAATTGAACCTTGACTCTTATATGAGCAAAGTACCACTGCATCATGATCAACAATCATCACTGTTATCAAGACATGTATATTTTTTTAGTGTACACATATTTCAGAAATTATTCATATCATACATTTTAAATTATTATATATTCTTAATACAGAACACATTCTTCATTAAGATTTAATCACTGCTATTTCAATATATCTCTGTACAGATTATTTTTAATCTATACACTCATTATATAAGGAGTAACATAATGTTATCTTTTATATAAGTCTTAGATAAGTAACAATAAACCCACTATTTGAGATCCACTCTGATATAAATAATGAATGTCACAATTATTCATAATTATAATAAAAAATACGTACAGTCATACAAACAATGACCTTATTTAACATATTATCAATATAAGTACATACAAATTATTTTGACACTATGGATTTGATTATGTAACTCTGTTTCAATAATTTCATTGTTTAAAATAAACTATTCAATACCTAAATTAATAAAGTGACAAATCATGTTTGAATCTGTTACTGAAAAATGGTTTATACATAATATTTAATTTTGATTTTAAGCCCTTCTATGCAATAATATAGTGAAGACTGACTGTTAGGACAGAATACATCTATTTCAGTTGTGGTTATTTGAACTAATTTAAACTCAATTAAATTAAATTAAAACAGATGAGAATAATTTAAATTAGAATTATAATATGTTTATGATTAATTGAGAATATGTCTAGCCAAGGAAATGTGTCAATGTTTAAATTATACATTACTAGTTTTATCCTCTGGCACTGCCTATATTAATTACTATTTGATAATGTGACTATCAATAGGTGAAAATTGATAGTCATAGTCACATTGTATAATTTAATTGTAAAAATTAATCAAATGATTTAAAATTATTTTTTACAAATTTTTTACAACCAAACCGCAAATAAATGCAATATATTAATATACATAAATTGTGATTTAACACTGACAAACCTCCATAATTTCATTACAGAGATTCATTTATATTTATAAAGACAATAGTTATACAATATAGGAATAATCTTTACAACATCAATAACAGATCAACAAGTCTAATCACGTTCTGGGTAAAATTGTACTAAGTTCTGAGTCAACTCCTGTGCTAGTTCTACATTGCTGGCACAGAGCACTCGACGCGATAGCACGTCGAGTGGCTCCCCCGCTGGATCTATACACACTCCACCAGCCTCTCTAACTATCACGGCACCAGCAGCTATGTCCCATGCATGAATACCAAACTCGAAATACGCATCCGCTCCTCCCAAAGCCACCATGCACATGTTCAAAGCTGCAGACCCCAACGATCTGACTCCATGCCCCTTACTGACGATTAATTGAAAGTTCTGCAACATCGCCTTATACCTTTCTACATCTCTGCTCGTACCTGTCTCAAATGTGATCAGAGCTTTCTTTAATTCATTCACTTGAGATACATGGATTTGTTTGTCGTTTAAAAAGGCACCTTGACCTTTCTTCGCCGTAAATAGTTGTTGTAGAATCGGGTTGTAAACGATACCAGCAACACCCACTTTATTTATCATTAAACCAACTGATATACAACTATGAGGGAACCCGTGGATGAAATTCATCGTGCCATCAATTGGGTCGATCACCCACGTCGGAGCATCAGTTAATTCGCACTTGCCTCCATCAGAAACGGTTTCCTCGCCAATAAACTTGTGATCGGGGAATTTTTCTGAGAGACCACCTATAAGAGTTTCTTCAACCTTTTTATCAATTTCCGTGACCAAGTCAATATCGGAAGACTTCAATTCGAACAGTTTACAACCTGCCGTATGCTCTGTTATGAGGTTTCCAGCACTTTTCACCAAAGATAGAGCCGCATCGAAATATTCATCAATAGAATCGGACATTATGAATGAAAACTTACGAATTACAGTTTTATAAATGCAGCTGTTGCTAATGAAATTCTTGCAAACATAAGTTAATGTAATTTTAAAGGTAAGTTTTATACACTATTTATAAGTATGAGTGTTGAGAAGAAACCTTATAATTACTAAATGTAAATCAATGAATAAGCGAACAAAACAAGGTCACATCCAAACTCAAAATATTCCGCCAATTTGACAGATTTGACAACGAGTCAAAGTGACATTGACATTCAGGACATTATCTTCTACAGAATTGGTTCACAGAAAGTACAGAGCACTTTTTTAATTTTTATGTTTTTTACAGCGGATAGCGAGCTAAGAAGAAGAAATACGTTAATATAATTAAAATAGCATCAAAACAAACCCCATACTTTTGTAATATATATATTTATGGAGTTTTTATTATTAGAATTGTTTTTTGTTATACTACCAAACATCAAAAATATTATTATTAATTTGAACCACTTGAAACCTCTTTTATGTGAAACTGACAAGACAGATGAACGAGGTTTTTTTAATTAGAGGCAAAAAGCATAAAACTGCAGAAGCCAGCCATACTTAACATAAATTTATATTATACTTGAATTACCTTCATTAGTTTATGTAATCCTAATAATTGAAATATAAACCCAGTTTGTCATTTTAAAGTTTTAGAGAACGCTAAAAAATATTATTCTGCGTATACAAATTAATCCCTGCCTATAGTTTAAATTGGTATAATTCTTTAGTTTGTCTCCGTTTCTATTTAACATTATTTTGTTCATGGCATGCTATGAACTATGCGGCTATAGGCCAAAAGTAGTTTAGTGAAGTACCATACATACCATTATACATAGCTTAACTAAATAATTCTAATCCTTAGAACCCAACTTATTCACAGATTAAACCCATTACATATAATCGACTTATTTACCATCAGATGCGCTGTATGCTCGTTTGCCACCATATTAGTTTTAAAAAAACTGGCCCCGTATATATTACTAGCTGTCCCGACAAACGTTGTTTTGGAAAATAAAAGAAATATACAAATACAAAACTAAAAAAAAAATTAGGGTTAGACTACCCCACATTTAGGGGGATGAAAAATAGATGTTGGCCGATTCTCAGACCTACTCAATAGGCTCACAAAATTTCATGAGAATCGGTCAAGCTGTTTCGGAGGAGTATGAGAACGAAAACTGTGACACGAGAATTTTATATATAAGATATAATCAACTCATTTACCATCAGATGGGGCATATGCTTGTTTGCCACTATCGTAGTATATAAAACTCAGCCAGTAGTTATACCACTGTAAATTATGTATTCAGTATATTTAAAAGAAAAAGGAATAGGAGGAACAACGAATATAAATTTATTTCAATGAATGAGGAACATATAAATAAAACAAAGTATAAAAAATCATGAAAAATTGTTTAATTGGCATTACCACTTGTTACAACCTATGGCCAATTGTACAATTATCAATATTGTTAATAATTAAATAAAATATATATGTAATATAATAAGTATGCTTCTGAATTGTTTACTTACATTTAAATTTTAACATTTATTATTCAGAGCTGTATAATAAAAATGGTTCACTACAATTATTATTCAGTAAATGAATCGTAAAAATGCGAGCGAGACAATGACAGTTTATATAACAGGACGTCGTGCCTCCGATGTCGACACGAGCCTATTTACGTATAGTCCATAATAAAAAACTTAAGGCCACAATTTATTATTATGAATCTTATCTAAGTCTAGAATAAGCAAGCCATTACACTAGCGCGAACTTCAATAATACCGTTCCATATGGAAACTAATTTACACTTGCCACCGTACTGGTGTATTTACATTGTAAGATGTTAAAATATTAGAGTACAAAAATGGTAAGGAAATAAAAATCTGTTACAACATCTACAGAGACGTGTCGACGTATTTATCAATCATAAAACAACAGTTACAAAAAATCTGTACCGAGCAGTTTGTCCTTTCAATTGTAAATACAGCCGGAATAACCACCGAATGGAGGCGTGAATATAAAATGAGAACCGATGTAATACGACGACACGTCTCTAAAACAAATGCGTACATGACATACTTATGAACTATCATTAAATTGTATGGCAACTAAGCACTCAGTGTCACGCACTGATATTATTTACATGTTTGTATAGAAGGCGTGTGTGAGCATGCTAATAGCAAGGCAGGAAGCATGCTCGGCGAAAGGGGCCAAGCATGCTCCGCGATGCGTAGAGCACGCTGTGAGCGGAGGATACCAGTTCTCCAGTATTATCGCAACAGTCTTCCCTATTCAGTCGCGTTAAATGCAAAAACAAATTTACTGCCGCCATTATTTCAATAGCCCATTAAAAAAATCATCATTATCACCCAATGAGTAATTTAACAATTTACCGGTTACGACCAAGTCTTGGTAAAATCGAAAACTCTCGATTGTCAGGAATGTCTTGTTATTAATACTGCTCCAATTGATTCCAGAGATTCAATGAGACTGTTAAATGCTTTCAAAAACGTTTGAGCATACGCCAACATGTACTTATGTAAAATATGAACAAAGCCGGTTTCAATACTAGTTTATTTATATGTAGTATCCTATATAAAACGAGCGGTCTTACAGAACAGGCCTGAGGTACAATATAAATTGAGTGTTTCGTATACAGAATGAATTTTACCCATGAGGAGTTATTACACTATCAAAAATATCATTTATATATTTTATAGTAATACAAAAACTATTCTCATTGTATTATACTTAATACAAGACGTTGTAAAACTAGAATATTAACAACAGAAGCAAATTAGTCTAGATACGATCTCATATATTTAATAGTGTAATATACCTTTTAAGATTTGACGTATACCACAGACTGCTCAATAACAACTGTACTGTTAGTACTGTGTAATTAAATATTTCTGCCAAATGTTGTTAATATAAATGTGTAACAACAGTTCTAGAACATGTAATTTATAGGGAAATTGTTTGGGCTCTGGACTCACCTTTGGTGGACGAGATTATATTCTTTTTTAGCTACACATATGAATATTAAAAAATTATAATCTATAAATTTTAAAGCCATACTCATAAAATAATAAAACATGTATTAAACGAATTTTAATTCTATTTGTTTTACCTCTCTCTCACACAAACTAGAATCTTTAATTGGAAGAGAGCGACAAAACACTAATCAAATAAGTTTGTTTCATCTTTTTACAAGTATGACTGTCAAAATTCAATGTAAAAAAATAATAATTAAAATACATGATTTTATAAGCATGCTAAACGTAACTAAAATACATAATTATTAAGTATCACTTCAATTTTATGTCTTAGAATATTTTTTCGATTTACATCTAAATGTACTATGACACTCTGCCAATTTAGATTTCGAGCCGGTTATACAGTTGACAGTTGTACAGGTGACAGTTCCGGGACCTACAAGTCCCGGTGACTCTTTTAGACGTGAAATATATATATATATACATTGCTAGTGTTGACACATAGCGGTTAACTGTTAAGAAAAGAGTCCATACAATTTTACATTATAAGGATTTATTAAGAATTTCATTTAGAAATGTTCTTAAAAATATTTTTTTTATATTGTATGAGAATAGATTTAATTACATTATAAGAAATATTCATTAGCTTAAAGTGTGTAATGTAAATAAATGTGAAATTCAAAGGTCTCTATATATATGCAGCTTTATATATTATAGATACTATATCTATAATATATATATGATGATGATTATATAAAGATCAGTTAAAATTCATATTTGAATGTCTCTTTTTATGATAATAATAAAATTCTTAGATATATTAATTTGATTGATTCTGATATAAAGGATGGAATGGAAATAAATATAGAAACATAGTTAAGTCCATTTTGTAACTGTTTTTTGCACAATAAACTTATTATTAATTTTATATACATACATAAAACTGAATTCAAATGTGTTCTTCTAATCTCATATATATACCGAGAGTTTTACCGTTCTGACCAACTGTCACCATGTAAGCGAGCTTCTCCGTCCACACGAGGCGGGCCACTGAGGGTGCGGGGGTATATGTGGGGTGTGTGGGGTGTGGGGGTGCGGGGGTGCGGGGGTGGTGTTCACTCGACGCTGTTGGTGGTGTCGTTGACGTCGTCGAAGGACTCGTCCCCGGAGCCGCCGCCGGGGGCGAGGCTGGTCCGCTTCATGCGCGACGAGGACGAACCGCTCGACAGACCGATCGGCCCGCCTTGTCGTCTGTACACACCATTATATATATATTAATACTAATACAAATATAGAAATTTATATATTTTTACTTTATATTTTAAGTATAAAGTTAAAAAAAAGTATACGAATAGAAATTATCTAAATTCAAATAAACTTAATATAAGCAATTTCAAATAGTCATTCTTTTGAATCCACCAAAAGAATGACACCTATCACTTATTCGTAACGCAGACAGGAAGAAAGAATGAACTAGAAACTTTGCATGTTGCTCTTTTAAATAAAAGTTGTTACAGTTATATAGTTTCTTTACATTTTTAAGAATATTTTTCTAGTTAAACATCATACGACTATTAGAATTCTTTAAAAAACTTCAAAAGCCAAATAAAATATAGATATAATCTTTAAAATAAAAGTTTTGTCAAATCGATTTATTAATGGCGGAGGATATTTTTTTAATACAGCACCCATCGTTATCCATTTCCTCTTTTTTGGAGTTGATTAAAAAGAGGCAAACATGTAAGAAATTTGAAAAGAATCATTCAAAGTGGGAAAGAAAATCCTACTAGCTTCCATGGAGTATCATTTGACGTTTCTACAAGTACATCCGAATATTATTATCTTCGACTATATTATTCCCGCTTCCTTCCTACCTGTTCCTTCCTATGCTGTACCTGGCATCATTACAGCTGATAAAGGCACGTATATTAATATTCTACACAAGTGACATCACAATATTAGTCGAAGCTGAAAACTTAAAACAACACCACAAAAAGACAGATGTATACTCATTAAAAGTTCTTTCACAGACTATTCTCATGATATGTTAGTTGAATGGAGAGCGTAAGATAGTCTCAAACAAATCGCCCGCTTAATAAACAGCATTAACTCACATATTAGAAAAAGTAAATGCGACTTTAAGACAAACCATTAAAGTCGACATTCCCAACATTTATTTTCGATTTAATACAGTTTGTAATTAAACGTTCGAAATGCCGATCTAAAATAAATCGCGCGTTTAATAATAAACAGCATTAGCTCGTATATAAAAAAAAAGAAAAGTCGAACTTAAAAGAAACAAATTAAAGTCGATTTTCAAATTTTGTTATATTCGAGTTAATACAGTTTGTAATTAAACGTTTGAAATGCCGATCTGAAACAAATCGCGCGCGCTTAATAATAAACAGCATTAAGTCACAAACAAAAAAATATGAAAAATCGACCTTAAAACAAACCATTAAAGTAGACTTTCCCAACATTTATTTTCGAGTTAATACAGTTTGTAATTAACCGTGCGAGATGCCAATTATTTTGTATCAATCGCATGAATGTCGCAATCAAATGAACACAGAGTGACAGAGACAGAGCGAGCCAGCTGCTAACGTTACCTCGCTCGGACCACGTGTCTTCTAGTCACTATCCTCCCAATCTGATATTGTCGGCCTACTGGCAACAGAATATACTGTTGTTACATCTTACCGGACACAATAACAAATAAATATATATATAATTATGTATAATAGGACTATATTTTTTATACTATGTATGTATTTATACAAACGGTCCGTCTGATGGTAAACGGTTACCGTACCCTATGGACGCTTCCCTCGGAGCCAGAGTAGATTGCACATGCAAAACCCCCAGCTCCAACATAGACGGTTGCAGATATATTCTGTGGTTTATAGTAGATCTTTTGAAGATTTACCACACGTTAAAAAATGAACACAGCTTGAAACTCGACTGATGATATATGATACATGCGCGTTGCCGACCCTAAAACCTCCTAATGATTATCTTTTTTATAATCTTTGTTTTACCATCATTTTTTTTTTACTTATATTTGGTTGTTAATGTTTCAAATGTTTCTTTTTAAAATCAGATATATGGTAATGAATATGGAAGAGCGGGATGTACGTGATACAGGCATTGCTATGCTTACTAGGACATCCCAATACTGTATAAACAAATTGTTTTTGATAGTAATACATATTTTCATGTATGTTATATACATCACCTATATATTTTCTATATATACTTGGTAGTACCAGATACAAGGTATAATAATAACAATAAATAATACCCCTGGACAATATACACAGCGCCATCTAGTTCCAAGCTAAGCAGAGCTTGTGTTATGGGTACTAGACATCTAATATAAATAGTTCTATTGAGATGGATCGAGAAAAAGACGCCAACTTTTAATTAACCTTATATTTTATTTTAAATACATATTTTAGCAGTCAACGCAAGGGCCAGATGACAAATCAGAGAGGAATACAGTATGGTGTTCGTTGAGTTATTCACAAAGCGATAATAGATGGCGCTACGTGTTTCCTTTACACAAATTAAGATTATTAAATTTAGCCTAATTAAAACAAGTTCAATATTTTTTGTAAATATATACATAATATACATAGAAAACGCCCAGACCGAAACAAACAATCGAAATGAGGAGCAATCAAACCCACTATTGAAAGTGCTAAACCGCTAGCCGAAACCGTCTATGGCAGAATGAACTGAGACGTGGTGAAGTGGGAGGCAGTGTGTGTGCGTATGTTGAAGCGTATTGCTTACCTGAGCTTGTTCCTTAGGTTGTTGCACTCGCGCGTGAGCGTCTCGTGCGTCTCGATGAGGTCCTCCAGCTCGCGTTGAGCCTTCCTCTTGCCGACCTTCTCTCGCTGGACCTCCTCTTCAGACTCGTCCAGTTGACGCTTCAGCGCCTTGACGCGCACGTTCATCTGTACCACACGTTCAAATCCCGTTTGTATAATTGCAATTGGTAAAACAGATCTAGAAATGTACATTTCTGTAAACGGAAACTGTTAATACTGAAAATCAGGGTGGAAAGGGGATTGGTATTAATGTGGATTGATAACCCCATTGCTAACAATGTACCATGTCAGGATGACATCCACGCGGTTCCCCCTGGAAACCATCGTGACAAATTCCTGGTGAGTTGTCACGATGGGCTAACTGACCTGACCTCATGCTCATCTTATCATCTTCCACTGGTGCCCCGCCAGCGTAAACCGTTAGCGCAGGCGGGTGCACCATTCCATTATGATAAAAAAAAAATACTGAAAATCAGCGCTAGAAACTATATTCCCAGCATTATGCTGAGTTGTGATCCACATTGACTCTGTTTTTTAATGTGTAAATTGTTGCTTGTATTTCTTATGTCATTATTGTGTAAAACAAGTCAGTAAAATTATATTCTCTTCTATATTCTAATACGAAGAAGACGAAGAGGATTGCTAGTAATATGCTAACTACCTTTTCAATCTGCTCCTTGTACTGGTCAGCATGGCGACGTTCTTCATCCAGCTGGAGGGCGAGCTCCTTCATCTTCTTGTCGAGTTTCCGCGACGCCTTCTGCTGCGCGAGACGCTCGCGAGACTCCGCCTCGAGCTGCTCCTCCAAGTTCGCCACCTTCAGCTCTAGAGATGTGATCACGCCCTGGAAGTCACAGATTAAAACATCGTCACATCATTTATTCATACAACGAGCACTAATTCATTAGAGTCAAAGTACTAAATACACTAACATCTGGTTAAGTAATTAAATAAGTGAAGAGAAAGTAAGATATTACAACATTGACGGCAATGAAAATAACAAAGTTAGGGGCAAAAACTATCCGACAGGGCCCTGAATCCATTGCTTAAAATCTCAAACTAATAACCAAATAGCAAACACTGAATCACTCTAAGAAAATTCCATGTCAAAGATTAGTACATTCAAAAGCCCTAATAATGGGCTATTGAGTGAAAACAATATATGCACCATGACTTTGGTCATTAGAGCCCTTACTGAACACTGCAAATTGAATAAACAAACAAACTTAGGCTTAGCCCACTCATGCACAAAGGAAATATCTCCTTAAGGAAATAAAAACCATCGTTCCTAAGAATATCTTTCAATTCTTGTCCCTGATGGGTCTAGGTAGCGAACTTTGAAAAGGTCGAGCACAATAGATCTATGTAGGTCGCAGTGCTACAGGTCCAAAGCATCTGACAATAGCTCAAATCCCTCAATAAAAAAAGATATGTCAGGTGGCGGAGGCTGACCTTGGTCTTGGTGCGCGCCGCCGTCTCCAGCTCGGCGAGCTTGGCCTTCAGCTCCTTGTTCTGCCGCTCCAGCACCAGCTTGCTGCTCTCCAGTTTCTGTGTCGCAGACTTCTCTGTGCCCAGCTCTATTGTCACTTGGTCGATCTGCATCTGTTTACCAACAATGAAGTAATCTATAGCAGTGTTATCAGACGTGGAGACCCCGCCCCACAGGTGAACAATTTTATTTTTAGGGGAAATTTAAAAAAAAACTCGACATGGCAATAATAGTTCATGTATAGGAAGTGACACCTAAGTACATAATGTAAAAAACTGGATTACAATAAAACTTCAGTCGAGTTCTTCTCAATTGAATCTATATACTGAACTGAATGGTAGGGAAAAATATGAATACAAAAAACTTAACGTTCATAAGCGGCTAAAATGTCCTACATGGATAAATGATTTTTCGATTTAGAACTTTTAAAAAACTCCTTACCTGCGCTTTCCTGAGTCTGTCGCTGTTGATCTCGTTGTTGGACTGTTCCTCGTCCAGGTCCTCCTCGAGCGCCGCTATCCTCGCCTCCAGGCGTTTCTTCTCGTCCACGAGAAGTGTGCCCTGTCATAGACAATCATATTATTTAAATTATCTATACTAATAATAATATACTAAAAATAATAAAATTCCTAGTTACAAGCTAATCAGAGCTATGTTGATATTTTTTTGTAATTGCATGTATGAAATATATAGAAAACTAGCTTTTGCCCGCGGCTTCGCTTGTGTTGGCGAGGCTAATCCCCTTAGGTGTGGAATTTATCAAAATCCTTTCTTAGGGGATGCCTACGTCATAGTAGCTTTATGCATGCAAAGTCTCAGCCCGATCGGTTTAAAATTGACAAAGTTTCATACAAAGTTTCATTCCCTATTTTATCCCCGTGGTAGGTTGGTAAATAGAATTAATCAAAATCCTTTTCTTAACGGATGCCTACGTCATAACATCTACCTGCATGCCAAATTTCAGCCCGATCTGTCCAGTGGTTTGGGCTGTGCGTTGATAGATCACTATGTCAGTCACCTTTGAGTTATATATATTTAGATAGTCAGACCGATACAAACAATCATACTTAATTAGTCCGGAGCAAAGTATCGTATCTATGACCATCAGAAGTAAAGCGGTGTACTAAATTGCTAGGCGAACAGCTCATAAACCTAACATAAATCTGTTCAGGTGGCGAACACTGATCAGATTTTTTGTGTTTGCAATAGCATATGCTGACGGTCACTCAGATCCCAAACTGAATTTCAAAATGAATCTGTATTATTGTAAACATGTACAACATTTATTTCAAAAGAATACGAGCTGAGTTTCTTATCAGTTCTTGTCTTCTACAAATCACTCCGAACTGACGGTAGATTTGACATATCATAAGAGTCTGTAATAGACCTACATGAATAAAGAATAGAATAGAAAAGAATAGAAAATCATTTATTCAAATAAACTTACATTGAAGCACTTTTGAATAGTCATTACATTTTTTAATCTACCGCTCGTTCGGAAAGCTGTCTCATCATAAGAAGAACGAGCAAGAAACTTGCGTGTTGCTCTTTTAAATAATTTTATTATTACTTTACATTTTTAAGTTTAAGTGTGTGAATACAAACCACCAATTAGCACTAATTCAATTAAATACTCAAATAGAAAAAATATTGAATATATAACCAACTGGTTAAACAATTAATAAGAGGAAATCAGTCATAGTGATTAGAGCAGACCAGTCCCTACAAGCAGCACCCGTTCACGAGTATGACGGATGAGCCAGCCATCACTGCGCTCGACCATATTTTAGGGAGCCCAATGACCCGGCCCAGCACGATAATTTGAACCAAGATATTTTGAAATTGAATTTGAATTTGATGTAACACAGGATTGAGTTGTTGTCATTGTAATAAGATAAAAGTATGTGTACCTTGGCGGCGGCGTTGTTGAGTTCGTCGAGGAGGTCGTCCCGCTCGGCCTCGGCCTGTCGCCGCGCGCGCTCCGCGGCCGCCACCTCCTCCGCGTGCTGCAGCGCCTCCGCCTCCAGCGCCTGCAGACGGACAAACACACCATTACATCACATTCATTATCAACATAATCACTCGGTTTAGTTTAATACTCGTAAGTCAAGTATATAAATGTGTTTCATTCCAAAATTGTAGTGAAATAAATGTATTTGATATTTAATTTCAATTATATAATGTATATCTTATAGTATTCTATGAATTATATTATATTGTAATTCATTAAATTACACAAATTATCACAAACAATTTAATTTAAACATATCAGTAATGACGTGATGATCAGAATGCGTATATGACAGTTAGAGTACGTAAGTAACAGTACAAATGTGTGTGACAATCGAAACGCATGTGTAGTACAAATGTGATTTTGAGAACGCATGTTTGACAATACTAATGCACATATGACATTAAGACTACATGTGTAACGACGTGAATGCGCGTGTGACAATGCTAATGCACATGCGACACTGTAAACGTGTATATGACAATGCTAATATATATATATGTGACATGTGCGAATGCGTGTGTGACAATGCTAATCCACATGCGACACTGTAAACGTGTATATGACAATGGTAATATATATGTGACATGTGCGAATGTGTGTGTGACAATGCTAATCCACATGCGACACTGTAAACGTGTATATGACAATGGTAATATATATGTGACATGTGCGAATGTGTGTGTGACAATGCGAATGTAATATATGTGTGACATGTGTGTGTGTGTGTGTGTGTGTGCGGCGTCACCTTGAGGCGCCTGTCGGCGTCGCGCGCGGCGGCGGCGGCCTCCTCGCGGCCGGCGCGCGCCTCCTCGGCCTCGCGCAGCGCCTCCTTGAGCTGCTGCTGCAGCTTCTTCACCTGCTTCGTGCTGTCCTCCTTCACCTGCACGCCCACACGCAAACCGATATGTTATTTTCACTACTCGTATCATTATTTCGCTTTAAAATGTAGTACGCGCACAGTAGACGGCGGCGAGGACGGTACCTCGTCGGCGAGGACGGTACCTCGTCGACGAGGACGGTATCTCACTAGACGGCAGTATCTCATTGCGAGAACGGCACCTCACCGGCAAGGACGGTACCTCGTCGGTGAGGACAGTATCTCATTGACGAGAACGGTGTTGACGAGGACCTCGTCGGTGAGGACAGTATCTCATTGACGAGAACTCTACTTCGTTGGCGAGGACGGTACCTCACCGGCGAGGACGGTACCTCGTCGGCGAGGACGGTACCTCGTTGGCGAGGACGGCACCTCACCGGCGAGGACGGTACCTCGTCGGTGAGGACAGTATCTCGTTGACGAGGACGGTGCCTCACTGACGAGATTTCTGCTTTGTTAGCGAGAACGGTACCTCGTCGAAGCGATCGGTAACTCACTGTGCAGAACCCTACTTCGCTGGCGAGAACTCTACTTTGATGGCGAGGATAGTACTTCGTTGACGAAGATGATACCTCACTGGTAAGGACGGTACTTTTTTGGTGAGGACGGTACTTTGTTGGCGAGGATAATACCTCGTCGACGAGCATGATACCTTGTTGGCGAGGTGCAGCGCCTGCTCGGCGTCCTTGAGGTCTGCCTCCAGCTTCTTCCGCTGCGCGAGGGCGGCGGCGCGCTGCTTGCGTTCCTCCTCCAGCTCTGCCTCCAGGTCCCGCAGCTGCTTCACGATGCCGCGCCGTTTCTCCTCTCCCTGTTCCTCCTTGGCCTGAATGAGCACAAACCGAACCATGATAATAATATCAACTATGCATTTAATTAAATACAATGAACTGGTTTCATAGATTTTGAATAAATATAAATTTATATCACAAAGTAATCAAAGGCTACATTTTATCTTAAAAAAACATGCAAAGTCTGGGTAATAAATAGCTAGCACGTTATATGTAGTAACGATTGCAAACTTTTATGATATAACCATAACGATAGAGAAAACCATAGACTAATAAACTCAAAAATCTTGTTATTAGAAATATGTGAATTTTGAAATTGTTTTTTCATTTTTTGAGCGATAACTAAGCGATTCTCGATAGAGAGGAAAAAAGAGATGGAAATCGATAAAAACTAAAAAAAATGTTCACATTTTACTTCCCTACTTTATGGTCATAATAAAATCGTCCCATATCATATTACAATAATTAAAAAAACACATTCGTTCAAAACTATTCAAATACAATACCTGCAGGTCCCGTTCGAACTGCGCGCGCATCGCCTGCATATTGACCTCAAGCCTCAACTTGGCATCTTCTGTCAGCTGCAGGTCGTCTTCTATCTCCTCGTTCTGTGCTTTAAGTTCTGCAAGCTGTGACTCCAACGCTCGTTTGGCCTTCTCCAGCTCGTGGACATTCTTGTCGGCTGTTCCTTGCGTGTTGGCAAGCTCATCCAGCTCCGATTGGAGGAGACGCTTCGTGCGCTCCAACTCCTCAACCTGGTCATAAAAATTGTGCATGTACCAATAAATTTATATATAATAATATTATAAAGCTTAAGAGTTTGTTTGTTTGAACGCGCTAATCTCAGGTACTACTGATTTGAATTGAAAAATTATTTTTGTGTTGGATTGTCCATTTGTCGAGGAAGGCTTTTAAGCTATATAACATTACGCTATGACCGATAGGAGCGAAGCAGCAATAAAAAATATTGCAAAAGATGGAATTAAATGCGGACGAAGTTGTGGGTCAGCGAGTAATTATAATAAATGTTTATTATGCCACAGTTCTTAGTTTTTTTATAGTGTTAATATAGTTTCTTATTTATCTAGCAGTTATTTGGTAGAGAAGATTTATAGTAATGGAAACTAGGGGCTATAGTTACTATAGCAATATCTGCGTTGTACAATCATGCTTGCTTATCCTATTACTAACACTCTACCATTATATTCCTCCATACACAAAAGTGTTACTAACATTGAAGACATTTATTATTAAAAAATATAGAAAACATAATCAATATCATCGGTATAAAAGTTGTAAAAAAATATTAATTTACTCAAATTTCATCTTAAACATTAGAAAATTTATAAAAAGCTGTGTTTATCATCACTATTACATAGTATAAAACAAAGTCGCTGTCGCTGTCTGTCTGTCCCTATGTATGCTTAAATCTTTAAAACTATGCAAACGAATTTTGAAGCGGTTTTTTTAATAGATAGTGTTTCTAGAAGGTTTATATACATATATATAATACATGTACACCCGTGCGAGTAGCTAGTTATACTCGTACAATATAATGGCGTATAAGGTTACCTTCTCCGCCGCTTCGTCGAGGTCTCGTGTGAGCGAGAGGACGCGCGTCTCCTTGTCCCGCGCGTCACGCTCGGCGGCGTCACGCTCGGCCGCGTACCGCTCCGCTACTGCGCGCTCCTCTGACACCACCTACAACCAATACAACAACTTTATTTAGCGACTATTCGCGGGAGAACGCGCGCGCTCGTATTCGAACGCACGCGCACGCATGCGAACGTTTGACGCAAAAATTAATTCGTGGATAATTCCATTATTTCATTACTGTTTAATTTAAACAGTAAAGGAAAACCTAATACAATACGTTTGAAATAAAAAATAGTTAATTAACTAAAATATGAATATAATATTGAATTACCTTATCGAAGCTCTTCTGCTTCTTCTCCAGTTCCATAACCTTGGCGCGTTGAGCTTCCAAGTCGATGTTGGCATCCTCGAGTTCAGCCTGAATCTTCTTTTTGCCTGATACAAACGATAGAATTATGAAAAGCGGTATTAAAAAAATATATAGTACATTTTTTTTAATTGTACAGAGAATTTTACAAAGTTTGAATGCAGTTGTTATGTATATTTAGTAATATCCAATTAATTATTATAATAACCTAGGAAAATTCACACAGCGCCAATTGGTCTCAAGCACAGCCTGTGTTATGGGTACTAGACAACTGATACCAATACATAGATACATTTTTTGTTTTGTTAATACATAATATTCATTGATAACACCCAGATCGGTATAGACAATCATACTCATGAATACAAATTTTATACCGTGCGAGGAATCGAACCCGCGACCATCGAAAGTAAAGCGTTGTGCTAAAGCCCTAAGTAATTAATTAACATTGAAATCTAACTTCACTTCATCATCCAAAGCACACATAACATACAAGTACCAACTTAGACACCACAATATAGTCAAGAGTCCTTACTTTTGTCAAGTTTGTCGTTGGCCTGCTGCAGTTCATCGATCTGCCGGTACAACGCCTCCACATCTTTGCTCAACTTCTTGCGCTGTTCTTCGAGAGCGGCGGTCACCTCCGCTTCTTCTTCTGCCTTCTTCTTTGCATCTGCCACTTGTTGTGTCAACGCTACAACCTATTAATTAAGATTTTATGTAAGAGAGCAAACAATACACTGAGGTGCTGCCTTTTTAACGTATGGCCGATACACATACACTACATTACTCAAATGTTTTTTTAACTAATTCCATTTTCTAGCATAGGGGACCAATATAAGTGTAAATGTAAGTGATTACCGCCGTCTATGAGCAGCTGCAACAGCATGGTAATTGCAATGTGCGTTGTCACTTTTAAAAAGGAGCTCTTAAAGATTTCAATATCGATTCGGAAATACCATTGCTGGACGGTGATAATTAATGTGGTTCTGCGTGGGAAAATATTTCTATAAAAACACACCGTGAAAGACCGTCATTCAACCATAGATCCATTCATTTTTCTATATATAAGTTGTGTATATACTGTGCATTTTTTGTCTTTATATTACTAACTTATGTGTGAGCCTTTTAACAAAAGTTTTATCTATCTATCTATTGATTGATAACCGTCATCTATATACAAGAACAAGAACATGTGAGCGTATAAAAGGCGCATTGGATGACTGCCATACAAAAGTGTACCTCGGTGTGGTTGTATTTATCAAAAACATTATAGAAAAACGCAAATTGAATGACTGCCTTATAAAAAAAGAATTTCATTTTAATTACTAAGTGGTTTTAATAGAGACGTTAGAAGTCAGGAGCTAGTATCAATCTAAACCGCTTCTCAGAATATAGAGTAGAGAGTAAATCCCCACCATACCTGTTTGTCGAGGTTCCGCTTGGACTCCTCCACCTCCTCGAGCTGGTCACGCGCCTGTTCCAGCTGCTGTTCCACGTTGCGAAGCTTCGTCTGCAGAGACAACTTCTGCTTCGTCTCCTCTTCAAGAAGAGCCTGGGTAAAATGCCAATGTCATTACAAAAGGTTCAACATTTATTGAAAATAATTCATTACAAAAGGTTATCCCTATTATTACCTTTATATATATATTCTTCCATTCTATTTCAACATTTAGGTTGTTGAAAATAATTACTTTTGTATCTCTTTTTTTATTCTCATATTAAATGCAATAAAACATAAATAAATAAATAAAGTTGCCACCGCTGTCTGTTCATATCTTTTAAATTACGCAACGGATTTTAATGCAGTTTTCAGCAATAGATAGAGTGATTCAAGAGGAAGGTTTATATGTATAATACATGCGTGTTATAGTATACAATAAGCCGAGAAATTCAAAGATTTGTAATGCATCCGTGCGATGCCGGTTGGTTGCTTGTTCTATAGTTACCTGGGTCTCCGTATGCTGTGCGCCGATGGTGGCCGCCTGCTTGTGGGCGGCGGACGCCTTCAATTCCGCCTGCTCCAACTGAGCCAGCGCCTGTTCCGCTTCGTTCTGAAGTCTCGCGCACTTCTCTTGTACTTCCGTTCTAAGGAATTACATACATAATAAGTAATACGTAAAAGATAGTAAGTACAGTTGTAGTTGTAAACAATATATCAAGCCGAATGGCAGTATGTTAGTATTCATAAAAATAAATACATGTTCCCAAAAAGTAAAGGATAATTTAAAATATTTTTTATAACCTTTAATAAAACTGCGCGCTCACGTCGTCGATTTAGAAAGTTACCTAGTTTTTTTTTGTATTTGAAATTGTAAACAAGTTGAAAATCCCTGGACAGTCGATGATATAGGAGACTCCATATAGGAGACGGTTATCACCGACAGTCCAGGCACATGATGGTTACATGAACAGCACTACGGATATCACTTTATCATGTGATATCCGTTGGGCATCTATTAAGCTCGCCGATTGTGAGTGATACAAAAGATTTTGGTGGGCGGCAGTACCTGGCGCGGAATCGCAGGTGACTCATTAAGCTTCATAATACAACTACCTAAACTATTTTAGTTTTCAGCTGAGAGAACGAAAGACTGGCTCGCGTACTAGGAGCGGAACCAAAGATGACGGCGAGTTGCGTCTCTGCTTGCGGCGCCGCTCGCCGTCCGTGAACTAGAGAACTAGAGAACTAGAGCCGCCGCGAGTCACCTGGCGCGGTCCACGTCCTGCAGCTTGGCGGCGAGGTCCGCGAGCTGCGCCTCGGCCTGCTTGCGGCGCCGCTCGCCGTCCGTGAACTAGAGAACTAGAGAACTAGAGCCGCCGCGAGTCACCTGGCGCGGTCCACGTCCTGCAGCTTGGCGGCGAGGTCCGCGAGCTGCGCCTCGGCCTGCTTGCGGCGCCGCTCGCCGTCCGTGAACTAGAGAACTAGAGAACTAGAGCCGCCGCGAGTCACCTGGCGCGGTCCACGTCCTGCAGCTTGGCGGCGAGGTCCGCGAGCTGCGCCTCGGCCTGCTTGCGGCGCCGCTCGCCGTCCGCCCGCGCCGCTCCAGCTGTCTTCAGTTCTGTCGCCAGATCCGCGTTCTCCGCCTCCAGCGTCGCTTTCGCCTTCTCCAGCGCTGCACACATACACACACACACACATTAGCATTGGCTGCCTTCACACGACCTTCGCCTTCTCCAGTGCTGCACACCCAATTTGCCTTAACACGTACGCCCTTTGGCTCGCGATCAGGATCACGCGCGATTTCATACGGGTAAGCTCAGCTCGTATTCTTTTCAAATGAATGTTGTACATGTTCACAATATTACAGATTCATTTTTAAATCCAAATTTGGATGAATAGAGTCACCACCAGTATATTCTATTGTAAAAGCAAATATCAGTGTTCATAACTCGACTCGATAAACTAATTCAAATTGATAAATAAAACTCTGTTTATAGCGAGAGGACATATTCAAAATCCTGAGAACCTTTATACCTATTCCATTTCTGTTATTCTCTCAATCGATTTCCAAATCAAACTATCCTCGAACTCTACTAACAGAGCAACGAGGCGTCCCTGGTGGTGACTGCACTACCGCGGCACACGTGCTGCCAGTAGTCGCGCGCGGAATGGAACGCAGGTCAAATGAATCTTTGTTAAAATTATCAAAATTGGCAACTGGTATAAACATAGATGAAAAATTATTCCAACTACGCGAAACCTCCATTTTATTCCTCTAGAAAGTTGTCGTGATGTGTGTCGTATCGAAGATGAACTTGGGATTACGTTTTTCTGTCTACGATGATTTTCATTTAATTCATGATGTGTACACCGTTTAATACATAGTAAAATTATTTTTAAAAATCACGAAAAATGAACTAAAAATTATACAATGTAGATATTCCGAAAGATTTGACGTTTGAATGATGTATTCTATTTTTGAATAATTGTTGGCGGATTTTATTTTTTAGTTTATAGTTTGTCAAAATAAGTTTGTATTTGATAATAGAAGCAAAAAATTAATAATGGTTGGAATGCGAAGGTCAAAGCCAAAGATATGTAGAGAGAGAATTTTTCAGTAGTATATTTTATCTAGAAATAGTAAGGCATAATAATACAACGGATCAAATGACAATGCCAAATCTTTTTTGTAATTTTTCCTTCAAGACATACAAACAAATTTTTTGAATTCCATGTTTTCAATAATGAATTATAGAGAAGATGATTCTAGGTAGAGGAAAAAGAGGAAGCTTTATATGTATAATAAATGGAAAAAAGCTGTTACAGATGAAATGCAATCATTAGGAATAATCGTGAGAATATAATAGATTGAAAAATATTAACGGCAAAATGTATTTACAATTAAGGAAAGTGGTCGCTATAAGGCTAGATTAGTAGTAAAAGGTTGTCAACAAAAAGAAGGAATCGACTATACGGAAACGTACAGTCCAGTAATAAATGAATAAATAAATACAGCATCATATGCACATATTATGCAATTTGACACAAATATCAAGAAGATATATATTTCCAGAGGGTTATGACGAAAAATATAATAATAAAATATGGCTTAAAACAAGCACCATTAAAATGGAACGAGAGATTTATCATATTTAAAAAATAGCGCCATCTAGTCCCATGTTTATTTAAAAATGAATCGCTTATATTGGGTATTTTGATGGTGGGAAAAGATAAAAAAGAAATGGAGAATGGAAAATGAATTTGAAATGACGTTGAATACAGAACCTAGTTTAGATAGAAATTAATAAAAATGAAAATAATCATATTACATTAACACAAGAAAATTACATTAACAAAATAATAAATAAATTTGAAATGAAAGATGCTAAAAGTACTCCAATACCAATGTGCATCGGAGCAAACAAAATAGAGACAGAAGATGAAGAAATTGATTTTAATAATTCGTATTTTCCTTACAGAGAACTTATAGGGTCGCTATTATATGTTGCTAATAAAACTCGTCCTGATATAGCATTTGCGGTCAATTTTTTTAGTAGACGAGTGGAAAAACCAACAAAGCAAGATGTCATTAATGGAAAACGAATATTAAATCCGGACATCATCAGGTATTAAATTATTTAATCTACATTTGAATATTATGCTGATTTGACAATGATACATACAAGAAAGAGCACAACAGGCTATATAATCTTTCATACATACATATATAACATCAGAATCGAATATATCACTGGATCTGTAAAAAATTTGTCGGATTACAAGATGCAACGCTTTATTTGTCAAAAAATTCATTTAATTAACAACGGACTATGAACAGAAGGCACATCGATGTCAGATATCATTATAGCAGAAAAACTCAGTGAAGGACTTTTAAAAATAAAAATCCGACAAATACGATGGTCTTGGAAATGTAAAATTTTCTTATTTGTCCTATATTATTTCTTAGTTTATAAAACGTTTGTGGCAACTATACAAGTAATTTTATTTTATTTTAAGACGTTTTTTTTTATTTGTTTAGTAATAGTTATAGTCCACTGAATATGTATATAATATTTTTTTTAAAGAATCTTAAAATCATGGTGTTCTTAATTACTTAGTTCTTAAATACATGTTAAATTAATTTGGCATGTTGAATGAACATAAGGTTAATATACATAATTGTATTTGAAAAAATTCTGTCATTGTTAAAAAAATATATTGATAGATTAAAAGTTACGTTTTACATCATGTTCGTATTTTATATATCCATTAAAATCGACTCGGAATATTCGATCAACAGTCCGACACTGCCCTGCAAAATGATTGTCGGACTTTACATTTTTCTGTCTACGCTCTTTCACGCAATTCATGATGTGTACACCGTTTAATACATAGTAAAATTATTTTTAAAAATCACGAAAAATGAACTAAAAATTATACAATGTAGATATTCCGAAAGATTTGACGTTTGAATGATGTATTCTATTTTTGAATAATTGTTGGCGGATTTTATTTTTTAGTTTATAGTTTGTCAAAATAAGTTTGTATTGATAATGGCTAAAAGCGAAGGCAAAGCCAAAGATGGAGGAGAAATTCAGTAGTATATTTTATCTAGAAATAGTAAGGCAAAAGTACAAGATCATACCGCCAAATCTTTTGTAATTTTTCCTTCAGAAGTTTTGAATTCTCTTTCTGAATTATAGAGTGATTCAAGAGGAATGTTATAAAATAAATGGGTTTACAGTATAAACGGCAAAATCGATTTTTATGAAATTTTATATATATATTCAGTAGGTCTAAGAATCAGCTAATCATCCATACCCTTAAGTGATAAGGGTTGTCCACTATTAATATTTTTTTTTTATTTTTAATTTATAATGTGGCATTAAAAAATACATACAACCCTATATTTTCATCCTTCTGCCATCAACTTCTATTTTATAATAGCGCTTTTAATTTAACGGCAAAACAACGTTGGCGATCAGCTAGTAGCTTAATAAAATCTGTAAAGCGTAAGTGGACTGACCTGCTTTGGCCTTCTTGATCTGTTCGTGCTGCTCGTTGAGCTGCTGCAGCTCTTGGGAGTGCTTGTGTCGCTGGTCTGCCAGCGTGGCCTCGTGTGAAGCCGCCTCCTCCTCTAAACTGCGCTTGAGCACCGCCACCTCTTGTTCTCGTTTCGATCTGAGCTCTTGTTGTGCTGTAAGTAGATCCATATTTTTTAATTAGAGAAAATAAAGGAAATTATTTCAATGGGAGTTGTAGTTATAGAACACCAATTCAATTTAAGTAATAATATATTATAGTAAAGATGCAGATAATATCAGCACTTTATTCTTTTATAATAATATTAGCATTGTTTGCGGTTTCACCATCGTGACATTCACAGTCTATGTGTTATTCTGATATATGAGCTATATTATTGTAAAGATTCATTAAAATCAATTCAGTAGTTTTTGCGTCAAAAAGTAACAAATATACATACTTACAAACTTTCAAGTTTATGATATTAGTAATATAGCAATAACATCTCAGGATAATTCATACAGCGCCATCTAGTCCCAAGCTAAGCAGAGATTATGTTACGGGTACTCGACAACTGATATAAACACCTACACTTTTCTTTAATACATAGGTACATAATATATACATAAGACACCCAGACCAATACCAGTCGTAATCCAGGTCCCGGGCGGGATACGTACCGGCGGTGGTGTCGAGCGAGTCCAGCAGCTCCGACTTGAGCGCCTCCAGCTCCTCGTTGAGGTCGCGGCGCAGCTTCTCGGCCTTGGTGCGGGCGGCGCGCTCGGCCTCCAGGTCCTCGTGCGCGTCGGCCAGCGCCGACTCGGCCTCCCGCGCCGCCTTCTGCGCGGCCGCCCGCAGCGCCCCCTCCTCGTCCGCGCGCGCCGCCGCCGCCGCCAGCTCCTCCTCGCGCTTGCCTGCCGCAGTCACACCCGTCACACTCGTCACACTCGTCACACTCGTCATACACACACACCCTCTCGCCCACTGCTCACTCTACAGTGTACTATCACAGTTACGGTTCAGGTCCAGAGTGATATTTACAGTGAACAGAACTGTAATTTTGTACGAAGTCCATTCATACTATTTCTCTATATAAAATACATATTATAATTATATTATTACACTAATAATGACTGCGTAGCGATTTCTATGTCAAATATCGCATGCCTCTTACTTGATATGACTACAGTAATTATTTATATAAAAAACATCCATTAAAAAGAGCAACACACAAGTTTCTTGCTCATTCTTATTGTGATGAATCTGCATTCCGAATGAGTGGTAGAATCAAAATATGACTATTCAAAAGTGCTTGTGAGTGAGTTTATTTGAATAAAAATTATTAATATATAATAAATTATTTCTATAAGAATATATATACATTAAATAGAGAAGCTTCAGTACTTTATTGACTAGTAAAACTGAATTTACTAGGAAAATACAAATATGTATTCAAAATTGAAATTAAATTAATTACAGCAAAATATCCTATTAACAACATTTTTTTTATTAATATTGTTTATTATTATGTCATATTTATAGATGTTTGTGTTAAATAAAGCTCACAGTTCCCAATACTCCACAATTCCTCTCAATTATTCAAAGATTAACTAGAAGAATTTCCTCAATTGGCATTAATCTGCCACAATTTATATCTCAAGATCGTTGTATCCTTTTTATTAAGTATTTTTTACTATGCAATAAATTGCTATAAACAAATGAACAAACAGGACATTATTATGAAAGTTATAATCCTGTACAAAGAACATGTATCAGACTATACTATCGACGATCTTGTATAATCTTAGTCTATCATTATTAAAACTCACTGAGGACAATCTGCAGCTCCTCGAGCTGAGCCTTCCTTTCACCGAGCTGTTCCTTCACATCTTGCAACTCTGTCTCCACTTTCCTCTTCGCTCTATCCACTTCTTGGCGCAGTTGGTGATCCTGTTCATTAGATACAGTATATATACGTCAAGTCAAAAAGTCAAATTAATACGTTAAGCAAAAACTTTGTACCCCTTTTTCCGAAAATACGCTAACGGAGAAGTATGAAATTTCGCACACTTTTAGCTTATATAAAGAAGGAGTGCAGAATACTGATAATTTTATAATTTTGCATAATAAATATCCTAAAACATGTAATTTAGATACTCAAGTCACATACTTTTTTGTTTATTGCCTGTGCGACTGCCAGTGCTTGTAACTATACAAGTATTTTCTAAGTTTTAAGTTTGACGCCGTCATTATTTATAAGTTTAATTAGTAAATCACGGAAAGGTAGTCGAATATGTCTGACCATAAAAGATTTATTTACCTTCTACCCGCTGCTCTTCAGTTTTATAATTCATTATGCCGAAATATTGGGAACTCAACAAAATAAAACGTGGTAAGATCCCGTGATTTACTAATTATACTTATTTTCTAAGTCTTTGAGAATAGAACCTTAATAATGTTCAAACTTATAATTAAAATTAATTATAGTCAAATTTCGAGTACTATGCTACCTACTAATAGTAATAAATATAACACAATTTACAAGATTACAAGAATTTACATGTATACGCTCACTTGTAAATAACTTTAGAAAGAGGTAATTCTTACTAATTCTTCCCTCTTACCTTGAGCAACTTCTCTTCTAACTCAGCGATGGCGGACTCCTGTTTGGCCTTCAATTTGCTCAGATGCTTAGCTTTCTCTTCCTCTTCAGCTAATGCTTGTGAAAGATCGTTTGCTCTCTCTTCCAAGATCTGTAAATATAATAATAATAAGAAACTGGACAATTCACAAAGCGCTATTTAGTTTCAATGTAAGCAAAGCTTGTGTTATGGGTACTAGACAACTTATACAAAACATTTTTAAACAATATTTTTTTTGTAAATTTATGCGTAATATACATAGAAAATTTTTTGAAAATAAATGGGATTGAGCATATATAATTGAAAATGGCAAGGAGTAAAGAATTTTACTACGCTTGTTGTCTGTCATAATTCTTTATTAGACACTAATGTACAGAACATAGAACATATACAAAAATATCTACTAATATTATAAAGCTGAAGAGTTTGTTTGTTTGTTTGTTTGTTTGAACAAACAAACAAACAAACTCTTCAGCTTTCAACAAATCTCAGGAACTACTGGTTCGAATTGAAAAATTATTTTTGTGTTGAATTGTCCATTTGTCGAGGAAGGCAGGACATTACGCTAGGAACAATAGGAGCGAATCAGTAATAAAAAATATTGCAAAAGGTGGGGAAGTGAAACGCAGACTAAGATGCGGGTCAGCTAGTATATAATCAGATTCTTAATAATCAAAAATACAATAGACGAACTATAAAAGTACGTGGTAAACTAGTACAAAATCATATTCAATCTGTCTGTCTGGGAAGGTATGTGAAATCACATACCTTCCCAGTTAGACACTCCTTGTTTCCCCTATATAATATAATGATAGTGTTGGAAACTATTTTATATACCTTTTTATTGTCTATATTTTTTATAATATTATATTGTTTTTATATGACATAAGTCAATATAATACAAAAATATTCTACAACTACAACTGTGCCGTTTTACTTTTTGCTCGTCATCTTGGTCTCCATCCTTCACAGATAGAATAAGTACAATAAAAGACACGAGGTAACCTGGTCAACATACCTTCTTTTCCTTGATAAGTTTCTGGTTGGTGTCGTCACTGAGCGCCAGATCCTCTTCCAGCTTCTTGAGCTTGGAGTCGCACTGCACGCGCTCCAGCTGCAGTTTCTGCCGGGCAGCTTCCTCTTCCTCCAGCTGCTCCTCTAGATCCTGGAGTACACAAATTTATACACATTATATTCAAATAATAAATGAGTCAACTAAGCAGTTATGATAGTGATGGGAAATAGAACATAACTTCCATTAGGTAGGCTTTAAAATAATATTCAACACACATTATATTAGTTACAATAATAAATTGCTTAGAATAATAAATTAACCAGTAATCATGTGAATTTAGATGGGAAATAATTTAAAAATTCTATCAGATGGGATTAAAATAATTTAAAATTTGTCACTGTCACAAAATTAATAAAGTATAGGTATTAATAAATGTATGACCTATATATATGGACTATAGCCAGTTTCATTCTTTAAAAATATAAAGGGTCTCTGACTGACCTGTATATTGAGCTGGAGACGCTTCTTCTCCTGATGCAGTCCGTTGCACCTTTCTTCCTCCTCTTCGATGCGACCCTCCAGGTCGTGCAGCAGTTCCTCCAGCTCCTGCTTGCGAGCTGCAGCACGAGCTCGACTCTCCTCAGCCTCCGCGCACAGCTCCAACTCAGCCTGGAAAACATAATGATCGCCTTTATGATTTTGATCCTCAAATAAATTTTATTGTTACAATAATATATTGTAGAAAATTTATAATTTTTGGGTGTATGTTACGCAAATACTAAAGAACTATCAATATTGCATAAACTAAAAAAGGAAGATAATATCAAAACCGATACGGCTTGACCGTTTCTTATGAAATTTTATGTGTACATTAGTACTGATCATAGGACGTAAACTATTTTTCAAGAAATGAAAGTGGTCCCGCCCAGTTTTTTTGGACCGTTTGTTCACTTAGATCTTTTAAACTACGTAACAGATTTCAATGCACTCTTTAGTAGTATATAAGAGTGATTTAAAAGGAAGGTTTATATGTATATACATTATACATGTACTATATATTATATAAATCTAGATTGTTCCACACACCTGTAACTGCTCGGCCAGCTGCGTCTTCTCTGCGTTAGCCTGCTGGTACTTCTGCTCGTACTCCTGGCAGTTTTTCATCTGCGTCTCCAGCTTGTCCCGAATCTGACGCAGCTCATCCTCCTTTTGTGTCAGCTTCTCCTCTTGTTTTGTCACTTCCAACAGTGGTTTCACCTATAATTGTAATCAGACTTAATACGTAAATTATATAAAAATATCATTCTTTCTTTCTTGGTCGCGTGTTCGATTCCTCGGACGCTACAACCATCTATATACATTCTGTATAATATGTAATGGTCATACCCCAAGCTCTGCTTAGCTTGACTAACTGGCAGGTAGCTGATGTAATAAGGAGTAACTTAGGCTCCTTCTATTTCAGAAAAAATATTTTATTTTAGAAAAGATAAAGTTAAATTCCACGCGGGCGAAGTTGTGAGAACAGCTAATATATAATCTAATACCTTTGTAATATAAACAAATTTGTGTTAACACGACTTGTAACAATTGATTGTATTATTGAATTGCTACTTTTGTGATGACAATTCAAATATAATAACATCATTGAACACGTGGGTATGAGGTGTTCACGTAACGTTAACAATCAGGGAAGCAGACATGTTTTCAAAACACATCCACTATTGGCTTTCACTATGAAATCCACACGTACCTCTATTTACCTAATAGAAAAAAACTATGTTACTAATATTATAAAACAGAAAGTTTATGAGTGCGCATGGATAGATAGATAGATAGAGAGAGATAGATAGATAGATAGGATGGATGTTTGTTATTCATTCACACAAAAACTATTGTACTGATTTTGATGAAACTTTACTGCAATATAGCTTATATAATATAATTTGATGCGTGTGTAACCGCCGGCACAGATCGTAATGAATAGTCGTAAAACAATATAGATGAAATAAATAAGCATAAACTTGTAACGATAAATTAAAACTGAATGAAACAAAATACCAACATATCCATCCAGTTTGGTTATTAATCTACTCAGAGATTTTTTTTATATAAGCATACGGCCCATCTGATGGTAAATGGCTACCGTAGCCTATGAACGCCTGAAGGGTATCACGTGCGCGTTGCCGACACTTAAGAAACCTTAATATACCCTTCTTAAAAAACACCATGCTGTAGTCTCATGAGAAAACCTCGGCAGGAAGTTCATGCCATAATTTACGTGTCATCCTAACACAATCGAGACATCGTATGTTAATGAGCACTATTATGATTAGACCAAGGATTGAAGCAAACAAGGAAATAACAATCGAAGTTCCAAACATACGCACCTTGATGTACAATCTCCACCACTGCCAATTCCTCAACTTCAAGTAAGCGGCGCAATTCCTTTGGATGATCCTGATGGCGTTCAACTGCTGTAATCTCTTCTGGTAGTTCCTCCTGGCGAGGAAACCTCGGCAGAACGCCTGGAAGTTCACTATCAAGTCTGTAATCTTGTAGTCCCTCTCTTCTTCCAGGTGTGCAAGTACTCCAGCTCTGAAGAAGATCTTCGACTGTCCCACGCGATAGAGGTTATGATCCAGTTCCAAAGCCTCGATCATTTGTTCGCAAGCTTTCTTTCCATCCATGAAGCCTTTGGGTATGATGTTGGGTGTCAGCAACTCGTAGCGCTGCCTAAACTCCTGGAATGGAATACGGTTAGGGAACCCTTGCCTACAAATCCTAATTCCCTCGAGTACACCATTGCATCTCAGCTGGTCCAACACCAGAGGCGCCTCAATTTTGCCCGCCTTCTTCTCGTGGTTAGGTATAATACATCTCACAAAGTTGGGGTTCGTATTTCTTAGAGTTGCCATCAACTTTGTCAACTGTTCTTTGTACAACTGTGACACTGTTCTGAACATGCCCTTTCGCGTTCGGGCTCCGAATTGTGTGTCAGTCATCGCTTGTTGCGCCATGCCGACGATCTCAGCATCCTTCCAGATATGGCACACGAAAGGATCCTGGGAGTTCTGCAGGAGTGATACTACATTTTCGTTCAGAGGGTCCATATTCTTCATGAGCCACTGTGCCGCGGAATAATCGACTTTACCCGCATAATGGATAATAGCGAAATCGGCTACACCACGGAAGTCAGTCTTCATGAATTTAGGATGGACTGAGTGAGCAGAAACCAATTTCTCTACGAAGGATTTGTCAGTAGCCTTGGGGAACCAACATTCCTCGTCCAGCAACGCCATGATACCCATGGGCTTATCGATGAGGTCGATAGTCGGCTGCAAATCGAGTCCAAAATCGATGAACTTCCACTCAATTCCTTCTCGCTGGTACTCTTCCTGCTCCAAGATAAACATCGTGTGGTTAAAGAGTTGCTGGAGCTTCTCGTTTGTATAATTAATACAGAGTTGCTCGAATGAGTTCAGGTCGAAGATTTCGAAACCAGCCATATCGAGAATGCCGATGAATGAGGCTCCTTGTCTCTTTGTTCTGTCTAAGGATCTGTTGATTCTGTTTACGAGCCATCTGAACAGACGCTCGTAGCATGCTTTACCAATGGCCTCTACTGAGAACTCTACTTGTTCCTTTGTTTGGGCTTTGGTAACAAAGTCACGGCCCACTTTGATTCTTGGCTTCAGGAAAGCTTTTGTCATTTCCGTCACCGAAAGACCTGCAAGTACCAAAAGCTGTGAGAAAAACATTCTATTATTTAATTAATAATACCTGCAAAAAAACGCGTCTTACCTAGCAAATGTGCGATTTTTTGAGCAACAGTATTATCAGGCAGTGTTGCCTGATCAGAGTTTCTTTCCTGTTTGAACTGCATAGATCCGAACAGAAGAACGGACGAAACAATTCTGAATATGGAATTGAAATCTTCCATATTCATCCCCATAATATTCATTGATTTGATCGTAGCTTGGAATTCTGCAACATCATCGATCCCTGGTACGGGTAACGCTGCATTTGACAAGAACGGGTAACTTTTGGGATCTTCTAGAATATACTCGGCCTTCTGCTGAGCTGTTGCACCGACTAGAAGCTGGTAGAAGATATGGAATGTCCTTTCATCTTTTGCTTGCCTTATAGCCCTTGACTTTTCTAATAAGTACGTTTCGATATTCGCGCCAGCAATGAAACCGGACGCGTCGAAGTTTATTCGAATAAATTTGCCCTGAAATAGCAATTTTATTGTATTACACGACATAATCTAAAACGAATGCCTGATTATATAGTAATGGTTCTATACTTACAAATCTTGAGGAGTTGTCGTTTTTGACAGTTTTTGCATTTCCAAATGCTTCCAAAATTGGATTAGCCTGCAACAGTTGTTGTTCCAACTCGCCCTAGAAATGAAGATGCTAATATTAATTCACAATTCCCACTTAAAAGCATCCATTTACTTTCCACCTAAAAATTAATGCAATGAAGATACGGCAATAAAAATTTACCGACTCCGTTATATTATATGTTAGTATATTATAAAAATTCTATATATGATATTGGTAATCATGATCACTACTGTCATATATCTAACAGAGTGGCTGATGACGTTGCTAATGATTAAAATGACGTCACAGATGAAGTTTTAGCATTACCTCGAATGTAGGTCCATTTGTCTACGAGACGGATAGCGTGAAAATTTACAATTACATGAATATATGAGTATAGTGCACATACAGGAAGACAAGCGTTATTCACATTGCATATTACACAACTACAAAAATGAATTTGTTAGCGACAATAGCTGTTCAATTTATACCCTATTTTTTTAGAAGTATTAATTATTATGTTGAATAATTATTTGGAAAACACCTAGTAGCATTTTTAGATCTAATCTAATTCTATTTTTTTTTTATAAAATGTAGTTAGTAGAAGCGACTGCAAAATTAATGTACGAGTACGTTAAATGACTACCGACTATAAAACAAAATTTTAGTATAAAATATAATACAGTGCATAAAAAAACTCCTGAAAGTATATAGAATCATAAATTATATATATTGAAAGATTATTGCAATCGTATTAAAATATATACTGTTTTAAATTTGACGCAGTCAATATTTATATGTACAATTAAGAAAAATCACTGGATCTTACCTCGTTTTATTGGAAGATAATAAAACTGAATAAAACGTGGTAAGATCCTGTGATTTTTCCTAATTGTATGTATTACTATATTTTTAGATAACAATAGAAAAAAAGCTATATGTGTATTCTGCATATCCTGTTACGTCCCTCATCATGCAAACATGCTGAAAATTAAGTCCAAGAACCAAAAGGAACCAAAAGCAGTTGGTGGACTCTGGTAAATTGTCCTCCTTATCAATCTTATATATAAACACAAGATATATGCGCTTTCCTCATACACATTAACCTGGACTTGACAGTATTTCTTTTATAGCATAGGAGACAAACGACAAACGAGCTCGCGGCTCACCTGATGGTACGTGTTTACCACCGCAGTCCGCGATATTTCTTTTAATTTCTGAACTGATATGGATAAATAAAACCTGTTGCTGAGTAATAATACGATGTTGTCGGTTGAGACGATGTATATTATAGATGTTAACGGACTGATAAATGTACATAAAAATATTTATCTTATATACTAAATAACAATATATATATACATACATACTAAATAATGTAAGGTGTGGTGACACGGTTTAGACACGGCAATGCTTAGTTGACAATATTAAATTTGTCTGAATAGCCATAATTAATTGCAATTATTATATTGATATATCTAGGTAACTGATGTATGTAGGTAACTGTGTCTCATATAACACAAAAGTATTAAGAAAAAACATAGTCAGTGCACATAACGCGTAGTGACTTTAAGTGCGCGCATTTATAGGTTTAGTACTTAAAATTGACTTTATATGTCTTTATAACTCAATTTATATGCAATAAACTCGTTCACATATTACTGTAATGATATAATTTATGTCATTAAACGATATAACAGTTGCATGTGGTAACGACGCCGACAGTTTCACTTGCAACCTCGGTGCTATCATTGCAAGCGTATTGACAAAATGAGGTCACAGCAACGCATACAAAATACGACAAATTTAAATACCTAGCACTTTTATCCATACTAATATTGTGAATGTGATAATTTGTCTGTCTATTTGTCACTTTTTCACTACTAAACTTATTAGGAGAGATTGGTTTTAGCGTTAGTTTTATGACCAAGCGTCAACTCTCAGGCGTCAACCCTCCTTGGGCAAACTTAACGAAACTTCATGTGAAGATAATTTCTATCAGGGCATAGATAGATTAATTTACTGTCTCGAAAATAAAACATGAATGGTTTCAATGAAATGTTTTAATGAGATTAAAGGAGAAAAAAATTGAGTCGACAGTATTCTAGTGTCGTATAAGAATTTTACACGAGACTCGACTCTATTCTTACCCGATTAAGTCTTAAAGTCCAACTGCAGGCAACGACATTAGAATATTATAAACAAAAACTACCAAATTGGTCGCGGGTTCGATTTCTCGCACAACCGAATATGTGTATTTCTTATTTTTTATGTATATTATGTATGTATTTACATTAAAAATCTATATAAGTGTTTGTATCAGTTGTTTAACCATAAATCAAGCCCAGCTTAGCTTGGGAACTACGTATAAAACGATGTTACAATGATTTTTAAGATCATCTTGAAACCAGAAACCAGGGGCACGTATATATATATATATAATACATATATGTAAAAAATAGAAAAATTGTACATCATAAAAAATCATAAATACCTACATACATTTTTATTTATACTATCTTCATTTATACCTCGGTCACTTGGTCAAGATGTATGTATATAAATATAAATATATAATTACTATAAACCTATTATTAGAGAACCTAACTTTGTACTTTTAAACATCTAGTAATTTATTATTAAAATGCCCGTTCGTTCATCAAAACATCAAGTATGTAAAACTGACTCATGCTTTCGTATGTAGGTCACAAATTATGAAATTACTTTATTAAGTGATATATTAGAATTTCATTGTGAATAGATATAGATATACTTACATAATAAATATAAAAGTGTCTGTCTGTCTATGTATTTACTGTTATATAGCTTAACGGACCCAAATGAAATTTCGTCAACAATACTACAGGAATGCGAAATAAGCTTACATACCAGTTTCAAAACAATACACTTACAAATATATTATTTATAATATGACGAAGGGAGGAAGGCAGTTATTAGTAGTAGTAGTATGTGGACTAATAAACCCGTTGCTAGCAATATACCATATCAGCTTGACTCAAACGTAAATTACGGGAACATTATTTAAACTTGCTGATCCCCATTTTTGGAATCCATCATGATTATAAATTTCTGATGTATATATATATATGCATATATATTTTTATGTGACTAATATACTTATACTCATCTCGACATGGTTGACTGGTAGATAATGCCGCATGGTGCCCCACCAGCGTATACCATCAGCGCAGGCGGGTGCACCATTCCATTATCATTAAAATAAACGAACTTACCATTTAGAATAATCAAGCGATTATCATGTACAATGTTGAGAACAATCGAAATAAGAAAAGGAAAGCGCATATATCTGTCTACTTCCATAATACCATCGTTGGAGTTACGGTAGAATGCAACCGAACTCCATAACTTTTGTACCCTCTAAAAATCTACAACGCTTTTGAGCAAAATTACACAATACTGCTCATCTACAACGCTTCTGAGCAATATTATACAATACAGTTCATCTACAACGCTTATGAACAGCATTACACAATACTGCTCATTTAGAACACTTTTGAGCAGTAGGTATTAGACAGTATTGGTCATCTGCAACGCTTCTGAGCAGTATTACAAAATACTGCTCATCTACAACACTTATGAGCAGTATTGTGTAGTACTGCTCAGAGGCGTTGTACAATTTTATAGGGTACAAATCCCAAATACCGACCTGTTGACCGAAAGAATGGTGCGGTCGAGACCGAATGTCTCAAGATCATTCTTTTCCAAATTAAAAAGAACATAATAAGGACAATATACCAGCATCCCGTAGAAGCGTTCAACAACCGTTCCTTCACTTACTATTATCAACTGCGGCGACGGTCCCTGTTGTAGTCGCCACGTGGTCGGGGGGAAAGAAAGAAAAAATATACATGAGTATGATAGTTATACACTATCGTAGATATGGTAGATATATTGACCCACACGCTCATTTAGGTAGCCTTATGCCCCATTACACCATATTTATACCAACAATTTCATTCATTCAATTATACAACATAATTGCTAACAATTCTCATTTGAAACAGGTCCAAAACTACACTTTTATATAGACCATTTCATCATTATCTACTTCTTCCTTATCCCATTTATTTGGGGTGGGCGTAATTTTTCTCTTCCATTCATCCCTTTTTATGGACCATTTAACATTTGCAATTGAGAAATGAAATTAGCTTGTAATTGCAACTGTCAAATGACTCGTATAAAATCGCAAACATATCGATTTCATTCTGTCACATTTAAAAATTATTAGCAGTTACGTTACATAATAACAATTAGAAATTCATAAATTTATAAAAGCATCTATGTGCATTCACACATTAAACTAAATGAACCATTTTCATGTTACAAGAGGTAGCGTTTTTACTGACTATATATTTTTACTACTCGTGGAAATATATCTTATCATTCCTTGTGTATACAAGAACTTATAAGCTTTTTATCTATGTATATCGAAAGTACATCTATAACTTATTTTCATTAAGAAATAATGTGATATGTGATAGTGTAATAAGGTTTTTTGAGCATCAACTGAATCCTACTTGGAGAACACACAACTTTAGGGAACAAATGATTCATTTACTGTCATAGATACAATATAGTATCGAAAGGTGTAATAGGTCAATAAGTAAAACAGTGCTGTACATAATATTTCACATGCCATCTCCTTATCATTCCAAATATCGACTGTAGATCATAGATAAAGGGAATATTACAATATCAAATATTCGAAACTCGTCTCTCTGAATTATTACAACATTATATTCTCTTAAAAAAAATGACAAAATAATCGACTTTTGAGCTGATATATTTAGTAATGTAATAAACCTTTAATATTATTTTAATTTTCATAATAATTACAATACGTACAGAACTGTACACACATATTATAAATACATTTAATACTACATGTAGGATTTGCATACAGTGGCAGTATGCACAACAGTTTAAAATTAAGGATTAACTCTTTAAAATACTACAAAAAAACACCTTTAAATTACATCATTATCCTAATAGTTGTCATAAATCTTAAAGGTATATATATAATCTAAGAATTATTCATTTTTGCGGACTGAACGGATGTAGGCAATTAAATTCGTTGGGTTTATCTTGTTCTCGAAGTTCGATTCCGCCACTGCTTGCATCTTGGACCAACAGATAGAATATTTCTGACTACAGCCAATACCAAAAAAAACTACCAATACTCTACTCCACATATCAAACGAATATTGAATGTCACAGCCTTTGTCTCACATATATGAGATTACAATCTTTTGAATATCTTTACAAGTATTAAATGTCCTATCCAAAACCTTACAAATAATCTAGCACTACCGTGAAATAAATTAAAAAGAAAAACCGTGATAATTTCTTATACATATACATTTCGATAACCCACACATAAATTATTAATTTAAAAATTAAAACTTTAAATAAATACTAAAAAATTATACAATACCTACTCCACATGAAGTATTCCTAAAACACTATATAAAGTCAAAGTATCATTATTCATGTAGGTCTATTACAGACTCTTATGATATGTCAAATCTAACGTCAGTTTGGATTGCTTTCGAGTTGCGAAGAACTGACATAAACTCGGTTCTTATTCTTTTCAAATGAGCTTGTACATGTTTACAAAATAACAGATTCATTTTTAAATTCAGATTAGAGAGAATAGAGTAACCACAAGAAGAGGAAACGCCGCTTCACATCCTATGAGGTTATAGCCCACTCATATCTCATTTGGAAAATTTACACTCTTTCCCGAGGAGATAAAAACCATCGCTCCTAAGAATATCCCTCAATTCTTGTCCCTGACGGGTATAGGTAGCGAACTTTGAAAAAGGGCGAGCACAATAGATCTATGTAGGTCGCAGTGCTACAGGTGCTACAAACATCTGGCAATAGCCCAAACAACCCAATAAAAAAAAACCACAAGAATATGCTATTGCAATTTTGTCACACGCAAATAGTCTAATCAGCGACCGTTACTCGAACAGACCAGTCGCAAGTACCAAAGTAATAGAAATGAAATAAATAAACAATACAACTCGGGACTCTTCAAGTCTATGATGAATAGATTTCTTCTGGGTGACCGCGCTACATCCTAGATCTAGTCATAATTTTCCACCAGATGAGGGAAGATCAAGCGCCAACCCATTTATAATTAAAAAAAAACGTGCTAGTGCAGATTTCATTGCCCTAACCGCATAGGTATCAATTCCATTTTACCATGACACGGATCTTGAGTTATATCCCTTTAAGATTATTTATATACAGGATGAGTCGTAAATGGTTATACTCAGGATGAGTCGTAAATGATTATACTTAAAGTTATTTCTTCATTCGTCAAACTTGCTGATTGACAATTTCTATTTACTCAAAATCTAATTTCATAAAAACATGTAATGCTGAACAACATTTATTTAAAAGAGCAACACGCAATTTTCATACTCATTCTTCTTGTGATAGAATAAAAATATGACTATTCAAAAGTGCTTATTATAAAGTTATGATGATATAGAGTTTGGAATAAATATTATTTCTATTTCTCTTTACAAAGCCCATCTAACAGTATCAGACGCGACTGTACATTATTTTTATCGAAATTGTTTTGATTTTGAAAATCATAGATAGTGCGGAAGTGTGAGACTCTACAGGTCTACGAAATTGTAGCGAGTCCTTATGGGTCAAGTCGTGGCATTGTTTAAAAGAAATATTTAATGAAACAATAGCCTGATTATTCGAAAAAAAAAATGAAATACTATAAACTCCAAACTGTTTAGTTACTATCATCATAAATAAATAAAAAATAATATAAAACAAAGTCGACCTCGATGGTATAGCGGTCTAGCACACCGCTTTACATCCGATGGTCGCGGGTTCGATTCCCGAGATTATTATTATTATTAAAGTATGTAGCTGTCGCTGTCTGTCCATTCCTATATGTACTTAAATCTTTAAAACTACGCAACGGATTTTGAAGCGGTTTTTTTTTAAATAGATAGAATGATTCAAGAGGAAGGTTTATATATATATAATACATGTACAACCGTGCGAAGCCGGGGCGAGTAGTTAGTTAATAATAAACTTGAGTACTTTAGATGGCACGCATGCCGTTGTTTCGCCATCCTAGTCTAAGATAATGGCAAATGTTTAATACTTGTATCGACAAGTTACTAAATGACAATGCGCTATTACTTTCAAATATATACTTCATAGTTCTAGGAATACAAGTGTTATCATACCATATTATGAATTCAAAACATATTACCGCGTGTGTCCGGGCATACGAATTACTATCCTGCTATAATATTAATCAAAACAGCTCTTAGTAGGTCATAGTGGTGCTGGAAATCGAAGAATATCCAGCGGTTTAATACACCGCTCTACATCCGATGGTCGCGGGTTCGTATCCTCGCACGGCACAAAAATTTCATGAGTATGATTGTTTGTTTTATATGTATATTATGTATGCATTTACAAAAAAAACTATGTATTTGTATCAGTAGTCTAGTATCTAACACAAGCTCTGCTTAGCTTGGGAATAGCTGGCGCTGTGTGAATTGTCCTGAATAATTTGATTTATTGTAGGACCTTATAAAATATTCTAAAACGGTTTTTGTATACCATTAATTATCAAATAAACTTAAACTTAAGCATTTTTGAATAGTCATATTTATTTACTTTAATCTACCGCTCATAGCTCAATCTCATACCAAGAAAATCGCGTTTAAAACTAAACTATATATTTGTTATGGAACCTATTGTCATATCATTGTCTATTATTAAACCATATTAAATATTCTAAAACGGTTTTAGTACATCTACGGGTTTTACCGCTGATATATGTACAGCATAATATTAAAACCACACTTGATCATTACAATCACGATACGATACGATATACAAAGATCCCGGCCATCTTTGTATATATTTATTTATAAAATATTATTATTTTAATAACTGAGTATTTATATTTAATCGTTCTATATAAAATACTTGCTACACGCCCGGCTTCGCACAGATGTAAATGTATTATGTATATAAACCTTCCTCTTCAATCACTCTATCTATTAAAAAAAAACGCTTCAAAATCCGTTGCGTAGTTTTAAAGATATGCATACATAGGGACTGACAGACAACGACAGCGACTTTGTTTTATATATATGTAATGATGCTGCTGCAATCGTTTCAAATGGTACAAAACATGGAAATTAAAAGTGTTAAAATTAAATATAAATTAATGAACTGTTGCAAATCTACACTAAATTATACTGTTAGCAATTTCAATTGTCAATTAATTCATACATAATCGTGTAAATTATAAATTTCAGTCGTACTAAGTTAATATATCATTGAATCAGTCTTACATAAGGTTCGTGGTGTATCTGGATCATACCAAGGCCGAGATAAACCTTTTTTTTTTATTGACGAATTTGGGCTAGAAGCTAAAACTTGTAACACTGCGACCTGTATAGATCTACTGTGCTCGCCCTTATTCAAAGTTCGCTAGCCAGGCCCGTGAGGGACAAGAATTGAAGGATATTCTTAGGAGCGTTGTTTTTTATCTCCTTAGGATAGAGTATGTACATTCCAAAGAAGATATTTCGTTTTTGCATGAGCGGGCTTCAGCCACATAGGATGTGTAGTGGCATGAGATGAATCATACTCATGATGCTTCATTGATACCATCGGTGTATGCACATCATCGTTATCAGAAACCCTATTTTTGTTACAGTTACCACCTATATAAATAAAACTGTATGCGACTGGTAATAAATAAATAAAATTAATAAATTTAATAGGTTATCGAAAAGTATATGAAACATCTAGCATTATTTATATACCGTGAATGGTAAACATGTTACCATTCATTTTAAAACCTTACCCGAGTGCGGTAGTCGAACCAATAAACATGCGATCGCTAAATGTGGAGATAACAATTAAATAAACACACGAACAAGAATCTTATATAAAACAAAACTCATTTAAACTACACAAAAATTGTCATTTTAAAAATATGGACTCTCGACATATAGTACAAACTATTAAAATGTACATATAGTACCTTAGGCGTAGTACGAATACAACGAGTATCCACCCCTATCTTTCCCTCCATTATTGTCGAATTATAATTCATATAGGTCAAAAATTTTTAATTTTTGTCCAAAATTGTAATTATTTTTTTCTTAACTTAAGTTTTTTCATTGTAATATTTTTACATACAGGAAACCTAATTAGTGAATATTGGAGAAGAATTTTGTATTTAATTTAACTTATTTATCTTCCTAACAGTTATGTTGTAAACGTAATGATGCATGCCTTTGCTTTGCTTTTTATTTTTTATTATATAAATTTATTGTATTTGCTACTGGAACGCCTAACGCCTCTCTCTTAAGGAGGAGGGCGTTGACGACCACGACACAGTATTACTTACTAATGTGGCTATTATCGTTACACTACCCTACTTTGTAAAATATTATATATATTTAATTCCAAAAAAAAAAATTAACTAAAATATATATATTTTAATTCCAGAGCTCCACAATGGAAGAGTAAATATTTTAACCAACATTGTACTTATAGGATTTATATTATTTTGTTTAATTCCGCCCATTAGCATGTGAGACCACAAACATTCAGTGCGGACTAATGAACCCATTACTAGCAATGTAACATGTCAGGTTGACCTCCACGCGGTTCCCCCTGGAAACCATCGTGTTAAATTCCTGGTGAATTTGTCACGATGGGCTAACTGACCTGACCTCATGCTCATCTTATCCTCCACTGGTGGCCCGCCAGCGTATACCGTTAGCGCAGGCGGATGCACCATTCCATTATCACATACAAAAAAAAAAAACCTGACCACCGCTACTGGAAGCGCTACGACCTTCTCTATTGGTGATCAAATTCCGACCGTTATTGTATCTACACCCATATGACACTTGTTTCACCTCTGAACGAGGCATCATCAGACAGTGAATAGTGCTCACATACAGCTTGGAAGTATAATGTTGACTGTTCAGTCAACACAGTGTTATGGTCTCACATGCCAATGGTAGCAGAATTAAACAAAATAATATCCATTAAGTAATTCAATGGACTTCCGCAACATAACACCGTAAAAAGTATGAAAAAAAAACATTGTTTTTATTTTCAATATTTACCGGTTTATTCACTGCGTCTTTTTAAAAGGAAGGGCAGGGGTTACAAAAGTATCCAAGAAATTTTCCAACGCTGACTTCTAGGCTACGCCCCTAATTACAACTACTATAAAAGTTTATTCACTTCCCATTTTTTCAGAGAGAAGGACAAGGGTACAAAAATATACCGTAAGTAATATTGCTATAAATACTAAAATTCAATACAACCTTAAAACAGCAAGAGACAATATCATATTGCAGTCATATTATAGTTGAGGCATATCTTAAAAGATTGTCATTTAGGTAAAATTTACGGTGTTGCTCGATAAAAATAATCATTATGTGGCCACACGGTTCCGTATATGGACACTGAGGTAATTAGTTAAACGGGCTCGCATTAGCGAAGCAAACATTGCAATTAGGTGCGCCCGCGCAAGTGTTCGCACTTATTTTTTTTAAATTATATAACATGGCGCCTAGCGAAGGTTTAATGTGCAATCTGACCAACTTTGAATCACAGATTGGGATAAAGTACTTGTTAAAAGTTAATGTAGCTTTTGAAGGCTTCTGTGGTCTAACTGTTTAGGACGCCGCTTTACTATTGATAGTCGCGGGTTCAATTCCTAGTACGATTCAAACATTTGTATTCATGAGTATGATTGTTTGCATTGGTCTGGGTGTTTTCTATATATATTATGAATTTATATCAGTTGTCTAGTACCCATAATACAAGATTATTATTTGGCGCCAATAAAAAAAGGAATAGAGTATACTTTTAGGTATTATTACTATTATTCCTTTTAAAAAAATTTTTTTTTCTTTTTTTGAAAAACCGATGATAACAAAACCGGAGCTGAAATATTGCTCTGGCGTAATACACTAATTACTGTACAAGTAAAAGGTAAGTATAAATTGTATGTGACACCATTTAAACAGATTAAAAATCGTCGAGAACGTGACATGTTTATCTGTACAACACGAGTTTTGCAAAACACCAGCATTAATTGGCAGCCACATAAATTACTACTACCAAATAAAGCCATCAGATTTCAGGTCAAGTGTACTATAAACGTAAACCAAATTGGGGACACAATAAAACCTAATATTTATATGTTTTATTTACAGTTACCACACAGCTGCCAAATTATCCGCAAAATGATTTTGTCTCTTCCAATTAAAAAAAAAAAACAATAACAATTTACAATACCTATAACTACAATACATGTTAACAACAATTCTAAAATAATTATGTCCTGATAAAAAAAAAACATACGTTTCATTTTTTTTTAAAAAATATCGTTCCATTTTTTATATTTTTTCAGTAACCATCATTCAGGCAAAGACATCCATACTAAACATTTCAATACAAGCGTTCTCACAGGCATACTGAATGTAATGCCACAAACTGTGGACAAAGGGCTCATTACACTATCAAACTATTATCAACATACTCAATCTATCAATATAGAAACTGTTAAGTTTACTTTTTCAATAATAAATAATTTTATATTACTTGTAGAAGTTACGATTAATTTATGTATTTTTTTATTTTCATATCATATAAAAGGTATATGGCGTTACATAATAGATGATAGTGTAATAAATATATCCTTTAATTTTCAATTAAAGTTACCTTACCCGTTATAGCTTTATGATTTTCAAAACAGTTCAATTCGTCTACACGTCTACCATTACTTACTATTATTATTACTTATAAGGTGTATATAAGAAGAGATCTTACCGCTCCGGATCCTTTGGGTTTTGAAGCGGCGACGTACGCGAGGTACTGTATCACCTTTTTGGTGTTCTCTGTTTTGCCCGCACCTGACTCGCCCGTACACAGAATTGACTGATCTTCGCGATCTGGAAGTAATTTTTTATCATAAATTTTATATGCAATAGATACAGCATAGGGATTGAGGATCAGGACTGATGTCCCCATTGTACCATCAAGTTTACCTCCATGCAGTTCCCCTTGGAAACCATCATAATAAACTCCTGGTGAATTTGTCACGATGGGCTCACTGCCCTGACCTCGTGTTCATCTCATCATCCTCCACTGGTGTCCCGCCAGTGTAAACAGTTAGCGCAGACGGGTGCACCATAGTATTGTCATCTATTATCATCGATATTAATGATAATAGGTACAGTATAATCCCATTAAACCTAGGTACGTTCAGATCTTACAATTAAGTACTAGTCTACTACTAAATATATTACAGTACAGGGTTACACTATTAATAGTACTAGGGCTATGCACGACAAAAATCTGCAGATTCTGCCAAACTGAAGAGGAAAAGCCACTACACATTCTATGTGGTTGTAGCTCACTCATACATAAACGAAATATCTCCTTTGGAAAGTTTACACTCTTTCCCGAGGAGATAATAACCATCGCTCTTAAGAATATCCTTCAATTCTTGTCCCTGACGGGTCTAGGCAGCGAACTTTGTAAAAGGGCGAGCACGATAGATCTATGTAGGTTGCAGTGCTATACATCTGACAATAGCCCAAACAACCCAATAAAAAAAAAATACACTATTAATTTAAAAAAATATACATATATTGTCACATTGATTGAACGGATTATAGAAGATTGACTTTACCATATCTATACATCATATCAGTGCTATTAACTGATTTTGTAGTCTTGATAATGAAACAAGTGAAAACCGAGACGTATGAGAAAGTACCGACAGAATGGACCACCGTAGCATTATAAATAAATAAATAAATAAATAAAACCTACCCTAAATATTGGGAAGCACAGTGGAGGTTTCCAAGCAGTGAAGCTTTTGAACTAGTTACGCAATACAGTATAAAACAATACCCAATTGGAGAATTTTCAAAGTCTTCTATTGGAAGAGAATTTTCTAAATATTGATGACAACCAGCAAAAATTGTGTAACATAATAATCTCCAATTTCAAACACTTGTAAAGTATAATGTATATTGTTTCTGAATTTCTGAAAATAAAAGTGATGGATTGTATGACGTGCAGCAGACTGTTATTCTTCACATAAGCATATTATGCAATTTGTTATCAGTAACACATTGATAAAAATAGAATACGAAGTGATTAGCCAAACTACGGATAAACTTGACGATTTTATTTGTTGCCAAGCAAAAATCATCCTTAATGAGTAAAAATCGACACTAAACCTTAACAAAATTTTTAAATGTCAGCCCACATTTTACTATAGGGTACAATAGGACATCGATGTTAGAAGACTCGACAAATCAACTTCAAAACATCTTATACCTACTCAAAAACAGTGTGTTAGGCTATCTGGCGAACGCTCAGACAAATGAAGAAGCAACAATCGTAGCAGTACCGAAAATAATTACTCTGTGCACTTCACTATAATGTAAAGGGTACACTTTCTACTGTTTTCTGTCACCATTCTATCTACGGACAAGTGTGGGCGTATCACTTGTACTTGCAACTCATTAGGCGACTCTTCGTTGTATGTTGGGAATTTTGTGTTCTACATTTGATTTTTCGTAAATTTCGACTATTTTGAAGGATTCATTTTATTTATACCTACTACGATGGCAAATAAGCATGCTGTCCATCTAATGATATACGGTTACCGTAGCCTATGGACGCCTGAAACACCCCTGGTGTTACATATAGTCACTGTCACACGTGTTACTCATCTTTAAGAAACCTTAATATACCCCTCTCTAAATTCTCTACTTATGTTGTTTCATCTCATACTTATGATACTACTTCATAACATATTGTTCTTGGTAATTTTTATTGCTATAACCCTGACAATAGATAGCAGCATTCCTTAGATGGGTGGTATCGTCCTAAGTATCTGGGTGTGCCAGCAACACGCTAAGCTGAAGGAGGCCTAGAAATTTACCTTCCGTAAGTAAACCCCATAAAGTTTTAACGCAACGGATGTATTTTTTTCCCCAACTTGGAACATAAAGTATCAGTCACTGATCTGGAGATACCTGATCTAGGCAACTTGATGTATCAATACATTTTGAGTAGGGTCTTAGATATAAACTAATAGTAAACCATCGCTAATATTATTCATTTTCACAAAACAACCCCCGTCTCTATTAACGTCTTCAAAAATCATCGTACAAATAAGCAATAGACAATGTTCTTTGTTAGTGTTTTGTTTGCAATACTCGGAGTAATCGTGCTGATAGTAATTGTTTAAACTACTCATTGTTTACTATATAATATAAACAGTTTGTGGGCGTCTGTCTGTTATCTCTCTATGTTACTTCTAAACTTGGGAAGATGACGCGTTTTGTTACTAAGAGTCTCTAGTTCACCTTCGTTGTGACACACTGATGAACGAATCTTCGAAAATATAATAAAGCAAATATTTTAAGGCTACATGTCCCTTACCTATCCATGCAAAATATGCTACTATGAAAATTTTCTAGAATAACTAATTAAACTCGATGAAATTGGTCCATGCTTTTGGACATGCAGTTAAACCAAAATGACTACACTTTTAGCTAGTAAAATTGCTATATTTCAAACTCGTTCAACGCCGAGGAGTATAGTTAGCATATAAAATAAAATAACTTGAAATCCATGTTCGTGTTCGTTTTCTACCTAATCTACATTCATATTCGTACAAAACTGTAACAAAGGGTCTTTGTGATCGCGTTGCTTTAGTATCGGGCGCGGTGTTCAGATAACCGACTGGTTTCTAGCCCATTTGTCTAATTGTTCACTAATGGCCCGAGACGAGATATGGGCCCTTTAAAACTCGTCTCAGATACGAATGTTGGAGCTCGCGACGCAATACGAACACGTAACTATCCAGCGATAAAACTCAAAACGATCGTTGGTACCACCAATTTTATGTATAATGTATTATTTAAACAGATATTGGATATCGTATCGGAATATTTCGTTTATTAACAATTAATTAGAAGAGCCAGACCAAGTGAGGCCAAAGGAGTAATTAATTACTCAAATGAAAATAACTATAATGGGTTATAAATATACAATTCTTTTGTTTGGACAAGTTAAGAACATTCTTCTTCTTTTGTGTCAGTGGTATACCTAAACATGTTTAGACCAGAATTTGGCAACTTCAATGGCACAATCAGCCGCATTGTTCAGGTCTTCTTTCGTACAAGACGCTGGACACAAAAGGCATACTTATAAATATAATTATTAAAGACTTTTAGTATTATAGTTAACGGCAATGCGCACCGCTGGTATTTCAGGCATCCATAGGCTACGGTAACTCCAAATTCGCAGAAGAACTTATGGAGCGGCTGAAAGTCAACTCTGATGCCTTTGACTCTGAATGCCTGATGGATACGACTTTAGTCTGAGGGCACCACTAGGGGTTTGAATCTCAGCTCAGGCTGTCGTAATTTTGATCCCCGTTTCAATTGGACGAGGGATTTGTCGTAGGGGAGGACTATTGGGTTATGATGTGCACTAACCTTGTAACATAGAACGGTAGGCTGTATCTGTGATGGCGAATACATGTGGCGGCACCTCGTGTCGTTTGATGCCCTTATACCTCTCCATGATCTTCTCTGTATATATCGGCAGCCTCTTGTATGGATTCACTACCACGCAGAAGAGACCGGAGTATGTCTGCGAAAGAACAAATAATATAGGTTAGGACACGCGTTTTTGCTAACCATGCAATAAGTATTGAAGTGGTATTTCTTCTGTAGACGCTCTGTAACACGACATTCGCAATTATATTTGACTTAAACTATAAAAAAAAATACTGAGGATATCTATACAAGTAAATAAGATAATTAAAGAGTCTGTTTGTAATTATTAATTTTCAAACTATCTTGAAAAAATATATATTTGAAAAGCTACTAAATGCATTTGAATGTATATTACGGTAGTACGGTGTTTACATCAAAAAATATTTTAATACGTTAAATTTTATCTGTTTGTCTGCTGTTCTTGCTAATCTTTGAAACGGTTGGACTGATTTTGACGGAACTTTCAGTCACATAATACTAATGTTTTAAGGATTAACTTCGGCTACTTTTATTTTAAAAAAATATCTATTTTAATCAATAAATTCACTTCAGAAAGTGGCTTTATACTTGTAACTTAAGTATTAGTGTTGATTTGTTGAACCAATATATCTTTAGTACTCAACGATCGATAAACAATTATCCCATAACCATACAACATCATCATTCTTGGTGGACCAACTCGCACGTCTCTATTGCAAGGGCATACGGTCCAGTTTGCTTGGGATGCGTTTTAAATTAGAATTTCGTCACATTCAATGACACTTGATTGTTTGGACAACGAGCGGTTGATGGAAATTTGATACGGACTATGTTAACATCTCATCATTGGGTGTTAAGGAGTATGAGACAGTAAATATCCACTTAACGAGCAACAAGATGGTAGGCAATACAGAATGTACGTACATTATCGAGTGAGTAAATTCGATGTTTTTTTAATGGATGATAATGTAATGGTGCACCCGTCTGCGTTAACGGTTTACGTTATGCGTCCGAGGGGGATGATAATATGTGCTTGAGATCAGGTCAGTTAGCCCATCGTAACAAATATTTCCAGGAGGAACCGCGTGGTCAACCTGACATGGTATTGCTAGCAATGAGTGTCATCAATCCACATCACTAACAATCCCCTTCCCTCTAGTAAATTTGATGTCGTATTGCCGCTTGGAATTACAACATTACCACGTCGGTTTCTTGCTCGTTCTTCTTGTGATGAACCAGCATTCCAAATGAGTGGTTATGAATATTTTTTGTTCACAAAAGTGCTTATATTGAGTTTATTTGAATAAAGATTATTTATATTCTATTCTATTGTTTCAAGAACGTCCTCTACCCAAAGGTTATCCCAAAGAGATTACTTAACTATAAGAGCATTATTTGTATCTTCTTACCCTATTATTTTTTCAATTCTGTTCGTTGTAATACCTTCCTATTGCACTAAAGACTTAGTCTTACTGATAATATGTATATACCCAAAGTTTGTAAGTACGAATGTATGGATGGTGGTTTGTTACTCTTTCACGCAAAAACTACTGATCGAATTTTTAAGAAACTTGACAGTATTTCAGAATAACACATAGACTATAATTTAAAAAGAAATTTTGTAAATTGGGAAATGATTATAAAAGTAAGTTAAGTGTGCACACAAAGTTGTGTAGTAAAGATAGTAAATAAATAAATATCGTATGTATTCGTACTTAATATGATATTGTAATATAAACAATATCTCTCAATCAATTCCAATACAGACGCGGATGCGCGAGATCATCCGTGTGATTCACTTCTTGAGCGGATACGGATATCGTCATTGTTTTCTGAAGCCTTTCTTCTCGTGGGGTTACACTGTACACGGTTACTCAATCAATATACAGACGTGACATGCTCACAAACGGAAGTGCATATTACTTAACAGTTCAAGGAAATAGGAACTTGTAAGATGCCGTGATCATGCTCTAGTGGTTTGACTCGACTTCGTCCGTGTTGAATATTATAGATATTGTATGGCTAAACCAATGGTCCACCGAGGATATCTTTAATTATTCTAGTGCTTCTAGAATAATTAAAGTCAGTCTCGGTTGTCTTGTGGTGTAGTACACCGCTTTACGTCTCATGGTTGCGAGTTCGATTCCTCGCACGGTACAAACTTTTGTATTTATGAGTATGATTGTTTGTATCAGTCTGGGTGTTTTCTATGTTTATTATAATCATCATCATCAGCATTCCATTGCTGGACATATGAGATATTACGGACGTATTTCCAAAAAAGAATCTATGTGTTTATATCAGTTACCTAGTACTTTGTTTAGCTTGGAACTAAATCATTTATAAAATATATCTCATGTATTATGTGTTTGTAAATGTTAAATGTTGAAATTTATCTATCTATATATCTAAACAATATATGAATTATTCTATGTATAAAAAATGTCAAATAAATCATAAACGAAACGTCAAAATAACAAACCAGGTCAAGTAAAGATCATAGAGTCAGCTTTAAAATCAGAGCGCAAACAACCAATTAACAAGAGAATTATTAGTTTCTTCTAATTGGGACGTATTGTACACACTAATGCCGAGTCGTGTGTTCGTGTCATACAATGACTATTTGAATTCATTAGCACTGCATTTTTCCTAGAATACAATACCGTTTGTGGTCGAATCGTACTAATAACGAAATGGGCATGGAGTTTGAATCTGCTGTTAATTTACTTCCACCATCATCATCATCTGCTTCTTCCTTATCCCATTTATTTGTGGTCGGCGTAATATGTTTTTCTCTTCCATTCATCTCTGTTCGCAGTCATCCCGTTATTTACTCCCTTTCTCACCATATCATCTTTTACACAGTCCATCCATCTCTGTTTCGGTCTTCCTCTACCCTTATAACCATCCACATTCATATCCGACGGCCTCGGTGGTCTAGCGGTTTAGCACACCGCCTTACTACCGATGGTCGCGGGTTCGATTCCTCGCACGGCACAAACATTTGTATTCATGAGTATGATTGTTTGTATCGGTCTGAGTGTTTTCTATGTATAATATGTATGTATTACTAATCTATTTATCTCAGTTGTATAGTACCCATAACACAAGCCTTAACTTGGGTCTAGATGGCGCTATGTGAATTGTCCTGAGGTTATTATTATTATTATTATGTAACACCTTAGAATTTACTTCCACCATTAACTATTAATTTTTAACTAGAACAATTTGGGGATCTGATGGAAAGTGCCAATAGTCCTTTAAATAGTATCACAATACATATGTTGATATTCACAATCCTAAGCAGTTTACTCCGACCGTATATGGACCCTATTCTTATCATTTACCCCCTCATCTGAGCCGTTGTGCATGTAGAGCCGAGACTACTAGAGTAGCTAGCCAAGCACCTCCCAGACGCGCAGAAGCCTGGTGTTTTCACAGGCTTCACTCGCACACTCACATCTGCACTCGTCCCCTATCGTCCGGTGAAGCTGTAAAGGCCAGCTGCGGCCAACAGCATTAGAGACATATTACAAAACAAGAGTCAACGTGGACTACAATTGTTGTTGTCTATCATTATTGTTGTGTAGGAGCCAATTAATTCTATTATACACATGCCTTTAGAATCTTAGAAACAGCAGATAACTTAGATGACTTCATCTGCGTTATCAATAAGCCAATTTATGTGGTCTAGTAGCGGCTACATCAAACGGCACATACTACTGATAGGCGCCGAGCACAGGGCATCGAAACGAATCAATTTGCGATCTGACCTCTTGTTTACGATTGCACAAAGAACATCTAATTATTAATTATATATAATGTAGAGACATTTAATTGCAAAACTACGTCGTATTCAAAGATTTATATACATATTTACTAATTGGAACGATGAATTTTGAAATTGTTTCAATTGAAAATTTCTATCGAGTATACAGCTTAGTCCTAACGGAGAATATTGATTGATCCATACAAATAAACAAAAATTGAATTGTCTGTTTGTAATTTCAATTTAATAGCTGTTCACATGCACAAAAAATAAATATATTTACAAACAAGTTAAACACAGTACTTAGACAAAATTAATAAAAAAAATGTTAGCTCCTGAGATCAGCAAAAACAGACGAGATGGACTGGTCTTGCTGATCTCAGAAACGGGTGGAACAGTTGTGACGTCACTTTCAGTCGCGTATAACTATTATTATAAGGAGTAATTTAAGCTGATTTTATTTTAGTTATTTTAATAAAAAATATAAAATGTAACTATTCAATACTGACGAAGTTAGGGTTAACATCAAATAGTATGTTAAATAGAAAAGTTTAATTAAGTAGATGATTTAGTATGAAATAATTTAAGTACATAAGTAAATCGTTTATTTGCATTCCTTCGATCGATCCACCGTCCAATTCAAACGGGGATCGATATTACGACGGCCTGAGCCGAGGTTCAAACCCCTAGTGGTGCCCTCAGTTGTATCCGTCAGGCAGGAGTTGGCCTTCAGCCGCTCCATAAGTCCTTCCGCGGGTTTGGAGTGCCATCTGCACTCGCCCCCTAACGTCCGGTGAAGCTGTAAAGGCCAGCTGCGGCCAACAGCATTAGAGTAGTCCGAAAAAAAAACCAGACAAGATAGTAAACAATTAAGCCACAGTAATGATATCAGCAGGCAGCGGTGTAATATGCCTTTTTACAGTAGGCATGCAAATAATATTATACAGCTATAATATAGTTCTGGCCTTTAAATGAATAAGTATATATATATTTATTTATTTATTTATTAGCATACAAAACAGATTACAGTCAATATAATAATATAATAGGAGCGTGTAGTTCGGTACAAAACTGGATTGTAATCCAACACTATGTATGCCTAAGAGCTAAATTATATAGACGCATTCAATATACGCTAGATAAGGATATATAATGAAAAGTAAACTAAATAGAAAATAATATATAACTACGTAATGCAATGAATTATCATGTTAACAGAATTTTATTTATATTAAAGAAAAGAAAATTGGTACAATGTTAAATATAATTTGTCTCTTTACGGTGGAAATTTAATTGTCTCCGGAACTGGACCAGCGTTGAATGGAAAATATCTATATTTCTATTCG